AATAAAAGGCATTTCAAAAAAATCTTTTAGAGAATAAAAAGGGTTGTTCAAAAGCCATTTGTAGAATTTAGATTTAAAAGTTTTATTAGGATATTTTGTTATTAAATGTATTAGCTTGTTGTATATTTTTAGTGAGATTACAATATGACTTTTAAGAGTTTTAGACAGTCTAAAAAAAATCTATGGTAGCAACGTTTTTATTCCTTGTATTATGAACATGAGAATTTTGTTTGATAAGGTTGGGATTTTGTAGAATATATGATACAGAGTCAAATATATAAATGTTAATTACTGTTGGAATTTGTAGCTGAATGAACAGGGGTTTACAGTGTTCCTGTTGGGGTTCACAAGATATGATTCTAACTAACTTCTTTTGTAAGACTAAAATTTCCTCTATCCTACTGCAATTTCCGTAAAAGATAATATTGTATCTGAAAATGGATTGGAAATAAGCAAAGTAGGCTGTTTTAATATAATTTTGATCTATACAATGTATTAGTTTAGTTATAAGACAAATTACCCTTGAAAGCTTAGAACTTATGTAATCTATATGATCTCCCCAAGAAAGGGTCTTATCCAGATAAATACCAAGAAATTTAACATTGTCTACATAACCATCCAACATATTTGATTCACAGGGTCTAAGGCTAAAAACAATTTTTTGAGTTTTATCTTTGTTTAAGAGGAAGCCATTTGATTCAAACCAAATAGAAGCTTCATTGATTGAGTTTTGAGCTAACTCTTGAAGTTGTTTAAGATCGGGATTAATATTTAAAAATGTTGTATCATCTGCATACAAATAAGTTTTACTGGTTATACATTCTGGGAGGTCGTTAATACAAATTAAAAATAATAGAGGACCTAGAACAGATCCCTGAGGCACGCCATATTTCATTTTTAATTCTTGGGACCATTCTCCATCAATATTGACTTTTTGTATTCTATTGTTTAAGTATGATTTGAAAAAAGAAAGTGGAGATCCGTTGATACCATAAAAACTTAATTTCATTATTAGGTCATCATGGTCGACACAATCGAAAGCCCTACTCACTTTGAAAAAAACTCTGAACGTATCTTCTGCTGTTGAATTTATACAATTAAACACTTGTATCCAATCATAAGTACCAAGCTTTTCTACTAATAAACCAACCGAATCTTTTGGCAAAATTACTTTAGAAAAAGAGTTTAAAGCAGCATATTGATTAACACAATCCTTATCCAAATTCAAAGTCAAATTAATTAGAAGACCATTATGGTCAGAGAAGGGGAAATCAAATACTTTACAGCTTATATTTGCGTTTTTACTACAATTTGTTAATACATTGTCCAGGCAATTGTTGCCTCGAGTGGGGGAGTGATTTAAGAAGTGAAAATTGTGCTGGCGTAGTATATTAAGAAATTGTTTAGAGAGGTAGTTGTTCTGAGTCAAGTCAAAACTTTTATTAAAGTCTCCTCCGATGATTGAAACATAATTAGTCCAACGAGAGAGATGAGTTAATAATTTATCAAAATTTTCAAGAAAAACCACAGGGTTGCCCGAAGGTGAGTGGTAGACAGAGACAAAAATTAATTTAAAATCCTCGATAAAGACCGCTGCTCCCTTCTAAACTCATTTCAGAACAAAACTGATCCAAATCACACATTTTAACCTGCAAAGAATTTTTAGTGAAAACTAAAGAGCCCCCCCCTTATATGATCAGTTCTGCAGTAAGCACTACCACAACAAAAACCATCAGGATAAGCTAAAGCAACCTCTTCTGTTTTTAACCAATGTTCAGTTAGACCAATAGCGGAGATATTATTCCTAAGTACAAATGACTCTAAAATCGATGTTTTATTTTTTAAGCCTTGGATATTTAGAAACAAGAGTGAAGGATTTACATTTAAAATTGATGGTTTTTTTGTGGTTCTTGCTTGGCAGTCTTATTAAGGCTAAACATTATTCTTAGGCCTATTTGGATCCACGGGAGCAAATGACACACTGGCAGCGCGGTCAACACTACACTTCTGGGGAATAACTTCACTCTCACTTAGATTGGACACTTCAATGGCTGACTGGCTTAGAGATTCATTAGAGGAGGTGTCAACATCAACCTCTCGTAGGGTAGGGGTGCTGACCTCAACCTCGGGTGGTGTAGTGGGCGTGGTGACCTCAACCTCGGGTGGTGTAGTGGGCGTGTTGACCTCAACCTCGGGTGGTGTGGTGGGCGTGTTGACGTCAACCTCGTGAGTCCCACAAGGAGTGTAGATGTTAGCATAAGTTCCCGATTGTGGAGTGGGGGTGATGGTAACTGTATCATCAGCTGAGTTCTTCAAACTGTATTCCTTTATCAGAACATCTAGTTTCAATTGGAATTCGCCATGTGATAGTCCCCGTCTTAGCTCTCTTTGTGATCTTTGATTGTAGCTCACGATGAACACTGCAGCCCCTGTTTCTTGACGAAAATCCATAATTTTTTTGATAAAGTGTTCTGGTGCAATAAGATCCCTCACACAACCCATGGGGGAGCAGATTAATGTTTTTAGTCCTTTTGCTTTAAAATCCCGTGTGAGTTGAGAAAAGGCTTCATTGTAGTCGTCTTTTTTTGGTTTCCCACTATACATCGGTTTGGTAACCAGGCTGTAAACAAAAGCGCCTTGATTTACATTCTGACAGGTGAGTTTGTCTGCAATAAAATCGCAGGGACGTGGTCTACCAAACTTATTTTTGAAGACAACAGCAACACCAGCTGTCATATTTCTGGCATGGTCAAGGTCGCTCGATATAGTGTGAGCAAAACCTACAGAAGAGTCCTGTTTGTAGCGGTCTATAACTTGGCTCATGTGTTCTTCAACTAACTCGATACCTTGATCTACAACCACTGCTTTAGAGTTAAAAGAGTGCTTTGAGGGTTCATTTTGCTTCTTCCTAATTAGCAGTTTTGCAACCATGTCTGCAACTTTAGCTTTACCTTTCCTATTGAAGTGCATCCCATGAGTGGTGTATAAATGTCGGGGAAGTAAGTGGAGGGGAAGAATTTGTATTTTGTTTTCATTGGCTGTGTTTTCTATTTCAGAGTTAAAATGTGAAATTTTCAAGTCCAACTGCGGCTGGTCATGTCTCATAGGCAGTGTTGCAAGAATCAAATTGGTGTGGGTAGAGTTGTGGATTAATCTATTTACATCCTCCATAAGTTGCATTTCTCCAGCACTGTCAACATTATTTGTACCAGCTATTACCAGTAGATAGTCATCTTTAGACAAGTCTCCAGAAAGTTGTTTGACCTCTTCAGTAACTCTGTCAAACTTTGCCCCAGATCTGACATATGAACAAACATTAGCAGTTGTCCGTTGGTGTACTAAATTACTTAAATTCTTTCCATGACTGTCAGCAAGTATGACAAGTTTTAATGGATGAATTACACCAGACGGTAATTTTACTGAGGTGTGTCTATTTGAACTAGGCCTAGGCTTCTGTTTCTTATTGGTGATGTTACTTGTGTAATTTTTTTTCTTACTAGGTAGAAGATCCCCATTGGATTGTCCATCATTGAAAGTGTCAGAAGATAAAATTTCAAAAGAATTTTCACAAGGTATAATAAAATTGTGAGCTGGTGAAGATGATATTAAGTTATTTCTGTTGACAAAAATACTCTCTTGAGGCTCAGACGGATTGTTGGTTAGTAAGTTTTTTGTTGATCTAGTTGGAGTTACTCGCTGTCGTGTTTTAGCAGAAGGGACGCTATTATAACAGTACATTACAAAACAGCATAGGAATTATATAATCAATATCAACATATCTTTCATTTGCATAAAAATAAAGACGGGATCTTGGGCATGAGTCTTTCAACAGGAACAGCTGTTTTCTAGGAGTTATTTGACAAAATGTAAACAAATGGATGGTGCTGCCACCTCGCAAAGGTCCATAGTACTTTAAAGGGCCCCAGGGCCTCACCCTCTAATTATTTCCCTAAAAAGAAAGTTTCCTGCACAACTTCACGTTACGCTCTTTCCAATGACACCAAAAACATGTCAATCGGTTCAGTAGTTTAGGAGGAGTGATTGTCACAAAAAACCTGCTTGCGTATTAAATAAGTACTAAGGTACATGTTGCTCGAAATCGAGCAATTGCAATGAAGTAAAAGAGTTATTTAAAAACAAATAACTTATTTAAGAACAAATATAAGTCATAAATTCGGATGAGTTTAAAAGAGTCAACTCGAAGATTACGTAACTAATGATAATACTCACAATGTACCTAACAGTTCAATATAATCAAGATTTCTTGTAAATATTTTATAATTTTTCAAAAGCTGATCTGGCTTTTAGTGTATTGTAGAAATGTTTCCCACTTATAGCCACAATAGGTTGTCCATGTCAGTCTTTGTCAATGATAATGTAGTCTGCATGGTATCACCCATTGTCGCCAGTACGTTTACAAATTTCAGTCTTTATTTTAATAGCACCAAATAACCATTAACTACCTGATTTTCTGCATAACCTCTCTGTCACAATTTTTACAATTAACATATGTTCTTCTCACTTTTAATTTCTGACAACAGCTGGAGTTTCATAACAATCTTTGTTTCCCATGTTAATCTTATGGAGAAATACAAAACTTTAAAGGCCCCAGGGCCTCACTCTCTAATTATTTTTCTAAAAAGAAAGTTTTCTGCACAACTTCACGTTACGCTCTTTCCAATGACACCAAAAACATGTCAATCGGTTCAGTAGTTTAGGAGGAGTAATTGTCACAAAAAACCTGCCTGTTTTATCCTGACTGTATTAAATAAGTACAGATATAGATGCCATGCATTTATCTTAACAATAAGATTGTTCAATTGTAATATTTAAATTATGTATTGTAACATGTCTCATTTTGTGTAGTTAGCTATTTATTAACTGACTATATGCTATAATTTTAGCTGTTTTATGACATTGTCAATAATTTGTAAAAATTCTAAAGACAATAAACATATTTTATTTCATTTCATTTGTTTATTTACCGTCCTATGTTACAGATAGGGCTGATGAGAGAAGGAGTGCTATTAGCAGAAGAGCCCCCAATGGCACTGATGGCAGCACATAACACAGACAACCTGGAGCAGGCCTTCCTCTACCTCAGTCAAAAACAGTCTGGCTCCCAGTCAACTGAAGAACTGAAGGTGAGTTTTGTCAAACTATATGTTTTGTAGCCGGGGGGATTAAAGATGGTGTATTTAAGGGGTTTAATTGGGTTAAATGGTATGATATGGTGTGGGATATTGGTGGGAGTGCGGGGAATCAGGAGGGAATAAACAGGGTAATGCTAATAGGTTAGGAATAGCTGTGTCTGGACCAAACTTAATTTAAGCGTGCTGAATCTGCTACCAGTAAAATTAGGAATATTGCTGGGGACCAGAGGGACGGAGACCTTTTAACCAGATCAGAACACTTGCCCAGCCAGCTTTGATTTACACTAATTTGACTAACTATTTAACTGCAGACCTATCCTTCCAACTATGAACTGAACATGGATAATTACTTACTAATATTGATGAGTGAATGAAATGATATGTAAATTGAATACTGAATGTGAAATACATCTATTAATTTGATTGAAAATTGCTAAGCTACATTCTAGGAACATGTGATTTGGTTTTCACTGTTTTCAGGTTTGAGAAGGTTGGCTGCAGAAGGCAGCCAACCGACTAAGTTGTGATTTCCTACATTTCAATGGTCGGGTGAGCCAGAAAGGCTCCCCGCTTGTTTCCTGACTTAGCCAACCATAATTTGAACTTATTTTACATAACTATATACTAAATTTAACTTATCGGTTTCGGGTCGCAGGTGCTAAAAATTTGGGTATTGTTTCAAGATGCCGAAGTTCAAGAAGAAAGAGATGAGCAAAGACGGGAGGACAAGAGTAGGAAGGTGGGGATAGAGCGTTGATGCAGTGGCGGCAGGCTACGAGTTGGCCATGCAGCCCGGCTTCGCGAAATGCACATACTATATATAAAATATAGCGTGCCGCTATGCGTCACAGTTTGTAAAAACTGCAATCATTGACTATCAAAAGCAGTGCAGATGGTGAGGTAGGGGGGAAGCAAAACATAGAGGAATAATGTGTGGCAGAGAACTCTGTGATCTAGCAGCAGCTCAAAGTGCTCAAAGTGGCAATCCATAAGGATGGAACATCTTTTTGTTATGTAGTCAATGCTTTAATCAATGAATTGTTTAAGCGACACACTCATTTATTGAAGATTATATGAATACTAGGTAGGCCTACCTGGGTGTAGAATAAAGTGAGATGACATTTATCATTGTTTTGTTATTATCAGCCGTTTCTTTAGTCAGGACCATTAATGACTAGTCCTTTGCGGAAGGACAACTGGGTCCGGTTTTCACCTATTGGTTGGGGTACTTAAACTTAACCTGACATGAAATATACAATATAACCAAACAGTTTTTGGTTATTTGATTAATTATTTTATTTTAAATGTCATTTTTAATGTCAATATGAGACAGTTGGCACTTGTCAATTTTTGGCTGCATTTATGTGAGTCCTTTTTTCTGCTAAAAAGTATAAATTTACAACAGAAGAGGATGTATTAAAGACAATTAAAAATTAGGATGGTTTTTTAACAGCCTATGGAATACTACCCAGCTACGAGAAACACTTGCCCGTCACCCCTGAATGACAAAGATGGAATAAGATTCTGCAGGATAAGAGCCCAACTTTACAAAACCGGCTACTGGATGAAAAGAAATGTGCCGTAAGTTAAGCCAGAGTAAACTCGTATCTTAAAGTAACATGATAATGTAAGTAATTTTGAAGCTAACATTTGCGTCAAAATATAACTTTTATTTCTACAAATCTCAATCAAACCAAACTTAAAAAATTGTACTATTCCATTGACAAAACAATCACCTGAGTCTAGAACACATGTACAATTTTCTATTAGTTGGAATTTTGAAAAGGGCTTTTTAGCAATTAATTCTTTATATTCAGGAGAAGATCTTATCCCAGAATAGTATCCAACCAAAATGACTTCAACACAGCAGGTACCAATATTGTCCTCAGCTCTGAGATTCAATTTAAGCTGGTAGAGAACGTGTGAAGTATCGAGGTATCTCACTTTTTTTTGCAAATCCTGATTTTATCTGCCTCTAGAATCATGATGTTCCTGATGATGCTGCCCGTAGTGCAGTGTCTACTGTTCAACCTGTGTATTGGTCAGGATCCGAAGGGACTATACATGGCAGTGGTGGATGAAGAGTTGGGTGGTGGCCTTGCAGATTGCCTCTCTGTGCCCATGCACGGCTGTCACATAGAGAGTCATCTCAGCTGTCGATACATTGAGAAACTTAAGAGCAAGACCATCAATGTGGTAGGTAACAGATGATCACCTAAGCAATGTTAATTTCAGGTATTCTTGGTAAAGAGCTCTAGGCCAAAATAGCTTTGTTTTGGGTTTTCATACAATAAGCAGGCTTACCTGTACATTGGGTAAGATTATTCTCAATAGGAAAAACATTCATCTCTCTTCCTATCAAAAACAAAATCAAACTAATGTTTGGTTTGGCTTCTACCTTTGTTGTCCTGCTCCGCCATACTGACATTTGGATTTGTCTGTGGGCATTAAAACTTATAAAATTTCTTCAATTTACAAGGGCTGTTTTTTAAGTAAGGGCTGGTTTCTCGTATGTATCCGTAGTTTGCTTGTATGCCGCAACGAGGATCATCACTATTTACTGGCATCATTTGTGAACAGAATGACTTCAATTTCAACTCTGTAGCTGTAATTCACAGCTCATTCACCTGTGTTCAAACACTTTGCTGTGTGTTTTTAAAATTTTTTTAACAATCAAATTTTCCCCCTGTGTTAGAGGTAAGGTAAGTGATACGTTGATGCGTGATACATTCATCGCCAAACGACTGAAAGTGCTGTCCCTAATGCAATGAGGATGATTAAAGTGCATAAATATGCGTTATAGAGTGTAAAAATGGCCGTAAAATCCTTTTTTGTTAGTGGTCTCTTCTTTGAGAAGTCTAGGTAGCTACCCACTAAAACATAATTCCTTCTGAAATGAGCATTTTCACGGCCATTTTAAAACTCCCTAGCCTATTTTAGCACTTTCCACGCTATCTTTGCATCAGGATCATAATATCCAGTCATCTGGCGATGAATGTCAGCACAGGATTTGTTTCCTGTGATAAAAAAAAAAAAACGTATGCCTGACCTTCCCTCAGATACCGCAGGAGATTTGATGGTTTAAACAATTTTAAAAACACACAGTGAATCGTACATGACAGCTATGATGCCAGTAAATGGTGATTAGCTTCCTTGTGGCGTTTAAGTAAACTACGGATTTATACGAGAAAGTAGCCCTTACTTAAAAAACTGCCCGTGTAGATCAAAATTTGGATCAAACATACAGTCCCACATATATTTAAATATGTTCTAAAAAGAAGCTTGATCACAACCATGTCATGGTTGGTTTTTGAAGTAGGCCTACGTACCTGATGAATCCCAAAACATCAGTTTTTACTCAAGAGAATTTAGGTCCTCTCTCTGAACCCTGACTTGTGACAGGAACGGAAGAAGAGATCGATGATTAGTTAGACACATACACACATACATTGTGTGTCTGCCCAAATTAAGATGAGAAACACACAAAAATAGGCAAAATTAAATTAATTACAAACTTTGAGAGGTTTGATGAACATCACCGCCTGTATTTCCAAAAGAAAGTTTGATATATTGCAACAGCTAGTGTTAGATAAATAGATAAAGGATGGCATAAAAGTCCCGGGATGGTAAAATATAAAAAAAATAATAAAGACAGATCTACAAATCTTGGAACAAAGTTACTTAATACATAAATAATTTTAATACATTATTCAGTGATACACTACCACTCAAGGTGAACAACCTGCTAGGAGTCAGAAGAAAATCTCAAGTGTAAGCATATATGCACATAAAATTAAAGTTCTTTGTTGGTAAAATACAGTGTCACAAACTCAAAAGGGCAAACGAGTTAAAAATGGTAGCCATTCAAAGATTCAACTTTTCAATTTCAAGAAATCTTTGAGTGAGAATTCATTTCCTACTGGAGCGTCAAATTTTAATTAATATTGATCTTTGAATGGCTGTCATTTTATACTCAGTATTTTAGTTTGGATTTATTTGATTTTTTATTATAATTTGTTTATCAAAATTATGGTTTTTTAAAATATTTAACTACCCTGGGACTTTTTGGCACCCTGTATAAGCTAAATAAGTGATTGTTTTAAATGTATACTTTCCATAACCAGATTGAGTACAGCAGTTTAGAAGAGGGTGTAAGAGCTGTGAAGAGGAACGACGCATGGGGTTTGATGCATTTCTCCGGCAACTACACAACCTCGCTGATGGAGAGGGTAAACTTCACAAGGGATGCAAGTAACCTCTCTATAGACCTCAGCGAAGTCAACTTCTGGATGGACATGTCTAGTAAGTAACTACTCACTTACTACTTGAAACCTATTCACCTATATGTGTCTTAGTTATGACAAGACAACCAGCAATGAAGCAAATTTTTACAATCAACCCCCAAACAACAGATGGAGACATGTGTTTTTGACATTTTAAATTTCATTTGATAAGGTCTTTGCAAGTGTTTTACCTATGTATGTAGCGGTTTGAAAATAAGAGCTTGGTAAATTTAACATATAAATACAAACTATAAAAGATTTTGGCCGAGAGAAGTACTTTTGGTGGGGTAATCATAGTCTAACTGAAGTAACCTCCTTCTCTAAAAGAAGGGTCAACTGTTACTAGTTTTTAATAAAACAGAACAGTTGGGTGGGACAATTGCATCCAATCCAGTTATTTTTTTAGAAATAGCAACAATCACTTGGGTACTCATTTCAAGCTGAGCACGAAGGCAGAGTTAGTGTAGAATGGAGTTAGATGACCTGTATAGCTTTGTTCCTGACTAAGATCAGCTGTACCTATACCCAGGATCATTTGTTACAAAACCAAGGATCTAGGGCAACTGTTGTCCCTAAAACCCCAAAGAATTGTTGTGTATTTTCCTCTTCAGACATACGAGTATATTATTATTCTAGGTCTGTCTCTTTATAAGATATAATTTTATTTAACACTTTTCAGATCAGTACATTGGAAACCTGTTGAAAAGAGATCTTCTATTTGGTTTTATTTCATTCCTGAAAGAAGTGTTTGAAGATTGTGGTTGGCCCAAACAAGTTGCAGACATTCCCATAGCGGTGAGTTATCAAATCCATAATGTCTTTTTAAAATACACATCATGGAAACCATGTCTGAAAAAAGTGTTATTTCTTTATAAATTGTTTTTCATGGGGGTTTGTTATGTTTATAACAAATTTCTATTTCCAACTAGGCCTACTTAAATTGTGTTGTAAGTGAATTTGTAAATTTTAAAGCTATCAACTATTTTTCCATTAAAAAGCTGGGTTTTCTTATGTGTCCAATGCACTTTGAAATGCAGATTGCTAAGCTAAGTGCGCATTTTGCTGCACGGTAACATTTTGCTTAGCATAAGTTGTTGACTAAAAATAAATAAGTGCACAAGAGTTATTGTTCTTTAAGCAAGAATCAACTAAGGATTGCATTGAACTAGCTGAAAACAGAAAATGAAGAAGAGATCAAATATAAAAACAATACCGAGCTTGATAAGTTCATCCTGTCTAGCCATCTTAAAACAGTTAAAACCCAACAAACAACTACAGAAGTAAACATTGAAAAATTACAGGTGCATAGCACACAGCAGGGTTTAGGAAATGTCATAATTTCATTTCATTTAATTTAGCTATGGATAAATCACAGAACTTGGGAAAATGAGCTTTATCAATGACTTTGTATTGTTGCAGTTTCAAGACGCTGTATACGGCTCCAACACTCCCAGCTTTCAACATTTTACCGCTCCAGCCCTTGTCAATTTGTAAGTTATAAAACATTGTAATGTTTTAATACAGTAGTAATAAATAATAATTACTGTGGAAACATTCATTTAGATGTGATTTCCTCAGTTTTGGCAACATTTTAAGCCGGTAATTATGTTGTGCTCGTGCAACACAAAGTTAGTAACGTAACCACACTTGACACAAACATGGGAAGTGATGGTGTGAGACAGTAGAGAGAGGTAACAGGACAGGATGATGTTACCGCATGCAAATCATAGAAACTCATGATTGTGTCAGTAGTCAAGTGGTTGGTTATGGTGCTCACCTTCAAATCTGAAGATCACTGGTTCGATCCCAAGCAAGATCGTGACCAGATCCAAATGCCTTTTGTCATTGGGCTATCAATAACGGCAGGGCGAAGTTAGATGGAACAGAATTTGGACCGTTCTCTTACTAAACACGTAAAAAATGTCACTGGGGTAGATAGACAGCAGAAAAAAGCTCATGTTCTCCAAAACAGTTTCATATTAACTACAATATTAACTACTGGTACATTTTTTCGCCACATTTCCGTAACATAAAATCGTTATTTTTATGACCAATAATTTTAATTGCTTGACTTTTAAAACCATTGTACTGGTAATTCATGAAAAATTGAAATGTCGGTTTCAGATTTGAGTTCTACCTCCCTATGATGTTCACTGTCGGTGCTATCCTCATGGAGAAGATGCAGGGTCTAATGGAGAGAAGTTTGGTAGCTGGTAAGTTATCGGTTAATTCTTCACATCTAAAATATAAGTATAATTTTTTAATTAATACAAAAGTAAAACCTTTTCATGATATTTAAGGATATTTTTTGTATATAACCAAATCATTCCTAAGGATTCTAAGGAAAGTTCTGGGGATTTTGATGGAAGTGAATATAGAACTACTTTATAATTAGCCAGCTTACCTGTGAAAATTTGAGTCCAGGAAGCCTAAAATAAAAAAAAAATACTATCATTATGTTTGTGACATTTTAGTGTATCTACAAGCCCCTTAACTGAAATGTTCTTAGGTAAGTAAATGTTTGTAGCTAACTGAACTCTTCTCATAGCTGTGATCTATTAAGTACAACCCTATTTTGTTTCCAGGAATGACCATCAGAGAAATGCTCATCACCCATGTTATCGTGCAGTTTGCAGTTCTATCTGTGCAGACTTTGCTCATGTTGGTTGTTTGTTTTGTGATCTTTGACAACCCCATGGTAGGCAGTTTGGCGCTCCTTCTTCTTCTGCTCTTTGTCATTGGAATGAGTGGAATGTGTTATGGTAAGAGTATTGCTTATTTAGTTTTAAAAATGAATGGAGGTAGCTTTTTGATGGGATGAAACAGTATCCAATATTTTTGCTGATATTTTTAAACATACATCCATACATATGGGCAAGATGGGCTCGACCCCCCCCCCCTTTGAGACCCTACCAGACTGACCATACAGACTGAGAATCCTGGGAGGTTTGTGTAAATTTGTTAAATCAGGAATTATGCGGGAATTTTGAGCTTGCACTGGAAAAACCAGTTTTAGTCTGCGGTCACAGTTAAATTGCAATCGTCTTCTGTGGTCACTGCGAAATCGTCAACACCTTCCGAGGTCACGGCAAAATTAAGAACATATTCTGCGGCCATGACAAGATCGAGATCATCTTCCGCGATCACAGTGAAATCATGAATACAGGGTGGTAATAAAGTTCGAAGACAGTTATATATAAAAAAAAAATACCCCCGCCGCAGCAAACCTGCAGACTTAGCGAATTTCCATTTGCCTTATTGGATTTAAACTAAAATGTCTCCTTAAAAATATCACATTTATTACCTATTTCAACAGAATTAGTTTAATGAGTACTTAGGTTTGCTGCAACAGGGAGGGTAAAAAGGTTTTTTTTATGTAAAATGTTAAAAGGTACTGTGGTTTAGTAAGAAATTAATGCTTATTCTCCATAAGAATATAACATGAGAATTTTAAAATTACAAGTTTTTTAAATTTTCTCCGTAACAATTAGGTGCATAATAACGCTTCAATATACTAAATTATTTGTTTTTTTAAGCTCTACAAAATGGTTAAAAAGAAATTGTGAAATTTTGTGTTTTTAGGGTCGAAAATGGGAAAAACCTATTTTTACCCCATAAACCCCCGTTCCCATAGTCCGATCATGCTGGTTCGCGAACTCATTCAAGTTTATCCCGCCTTACACCTTCAAACCAAATTTTATCAAAATCGGACAAAAATTACTCAAGTTATCGTGCGGATGGACACATATATATATATATATATATTTATATATATGTATATAAAAATTTGAACGAATGGTGTTTTTGGCCTCTGGGGACATCAAAATGAAAAAGTAAATCGGTCCCGGGTCTAGGTCTTACCATGAGACCTACGGTAATAGCTACTTCCCTATAGGGAAATTCGCTAATAATGTAGATAGAGCTACAACGATTGGTACAAAGTTACAGAGGATAAAACTTTATTTTAACACATATTCAGTGATCCAATAACTCTTCAGGGGGACGGCCCACAAGGAGTCGGTCGAAAATCTTAAATGGAAGCATAGGTCAATATGCACATCAAATGAATGGTATTTTTTAGTAGAATACAATGCCGCAAACCGCACTTCAAAAGGTTGATCCTGCGCAAAATGGCAGCCGTTCAAAAATTTCTTGAATCTGCCATTTTGTAGCTTTGAACGACTGCCAATTTTTACTTAGGCGTTCTTTTTAACTTGAATTTACGGCATTGTAATCTACTAATGGAGACCTTTAATTTGATGTGCATATCGACCTATACTTACAATAACAATTTTCTTTCGATTCCTAAGCGTATAATAGCAATGCAAATTAAATAAATATTTGAACAACTGTCAATCTTGGCTCGGTTGTCCGTTTGAGTTCAAATTTGCGGCAGTATATTCTGCTAGTAAAGATCTTTGATTTGATGTACATGTCAACCTCTGCTTCTATTTAAGATATCCTCCTGACTCCTTGCGAGACGTCCCCATGATATGACAGAAAATTGATATTTACTAAAAAAATTAGATTTTTAGGTGTTGTGTTGACGTACCAAATCTTATTGATTTATCTGTTGTCGTTTCGAAAATATTTAACTGTCTTCGGACTTTATTACCACCCTGTATAATGTATGATTTATTGTTCTGAACGCCATTCATGTATACTTTTGTATATCTGTGAATAAAGTATCTTTGAATTGAATCATCTCTCACGATCACGGTAAAATCGTCAGTTTTCAATCACCCGTCTTCGTAAATGCTCTCCACGGTCGCAGAAATTCACGCTCGGTTAAGCTCGACTCTATCCAAGCTTGGTCATTTAGCTTGATGATCATTTTCTGTCCGTACGGATCTCTCGTCCCAACCGATGGTATTCCATACCCTTTTCCCGGCCCCCCTATACAAAAGTCAGATGGACGCCCATGGTATCCACCTGTCCGTGAACATTAAGCTTTTTATTAAATGATCCTGTCTTAAAAAAGACTATCTTAGTCAGTCAAAGCTTCACAGACACTTTTGCACACTAATCCTGTGTTCATATTCAGCTTAAATTATGTTCACAAACGTCGTTGCTTTAGCAATGTGTTTACGTTACTGATTTTAAGCTGAAGAGCATTTTTAATTCTCTCTACATTCACTCAAATAGTTTAAAGTTTTTCGTTGTATTAATTATGTAATACACTTTTTTCTCTGTTTTATATAAGTTCAACAGCAGTTTGTAATTAATGAGTTACCTGAGCCATCAATCCGTCATGGTTTAATTTAACTACAGCTGTTGATTGACCCAAGACTAAAGATATTAGACATAGCGGATGGAAGGGAAGTGCTCAATATTGTCAACAATATGAAACAGTTGTAGTCAAATTAAACTACAACGGAGGGATCTATCAGTAAAATATAGTATTTTAAGCCTTTTATTAATTGAAACAATTCAGATGTCAATCCATCATAAACCATTTGGAATGACAACAAAATAATGAGTATTCCACTACAAACTAACAGTTCTCATCATTTTAACTCCAAAACTAAGATGAAAAAGTTAGATAAATTGCGTGTCATTGTCATTCACTGTAATCTCTATTTCTATGATGATTTGCAGGATTCATGGTGGCGGTGTTTTGTGATTCCGATATGGCTGCAACTTTCATGGGGCTTGGAAGTTTCTTTCCTCTCTCAATGTTAAGCGGTGAGTAATCTTTGTTTAGTCACACTTATGTTTTAATTGTCTGTGGGAAAAGCTCAATGTTACGCTGATGGAATACTAGCAGCCTTTTTCTACTTATAAGAGTCGGCAGGACCGCCGGCCATTTTGGATTTTCTGCCCATGACGGCAATGTTAATGATGGTTGAAGCATATTGCAGCATTGTTTATTAAGATAAAAAGTTGCCTAATATCTCATTTTAAAACTATTGAAACTGCAGATGTTATTTGCCTCCTACTTTTTAATTTTAATTGTTATTATTTTGTCAAACTACATAAATATATTGACTTAAACTGGGATTTTTTCAACCCCTAAAACAAAATTTTCAAATATAGGAAAAGTAATTCACACGGAAAATATATTTAAGAATCACATAAAATGTTCTGCTTGGTATTTAAGTTTACGCCACACTACACTGTTTTAGCAAACTTCCCACGCAAGGATTTAGTCCAGAAAACAGCTGTTTGCCGCCAGCTTAATCAAATGGGGTTTCATTACATACTACTATAAGTTACTGTAATGAGTTTTTACCGAACTCCAACCAGCTGATTATTTTATATTTGGCAATGGGTGGTTATAAACAAAAACATAACCTCTATGAGTAGTGATTGTTAGTCCTTAGTGGGAGGAAGTACATAAGGATTTGTACATATTTTTATTGAGTAGTAAGACGTAAAATATCGTCCAAAATGTGTTTACCGGACTGGTATGGTAACCCCGCACTCGACTTCGTCTTGCACGGTAACGACCACACTCGTCTGGCAAACACCTATTTTCAGGACTAGTAAGGTAATATACTATTTCGGTGCATGATTAATATGCTTAAACATGAACGCATGCTTTTGCTGATCGGCGCTAGGACAACCACTGCTTAGCCTGGCGTCTGACAGTCAACAACAATGGAAAATTATTAACTCCTGCTGAGCTAGGCAGCTTCTTTCCCCCAGTTTGGAATTCTTTGGTTTCAACGTTTTTTATGATACTGACCTTCCAAGCTCTTTTTATGTTGGAATTGGATAGTACTTCTGACCACCTGATCAGTAGGGAAAAACAATGTTAAATTTATTTGAGCTCCTGTGCATAAGACTGAGACAAATACAGCTGCATTACCAACTATAAGACAACCTATATACATGGCCTTTCAGATTACAAAGGTTTAATAAATGTGACTAAACATTTCTTCTAGGAATGATGTGGCCAATGGAAGGCATGCACCAAGTCCTCAAGTCTATTGGGTGGCTGCTGCCGCTGACACTGTCTACAGAGGCTTTCCGAGGCATTTCAGCAAGAGCTTGGGGCATTACACACCCTGCTGTCTACCTCGGGTTCCTCTCCAGCCTCGGGTGGATCGTCTACTTCATGGTGATCACCTGCATTGTCGTCAAGTGGAGGAAAGGACTCGGCGGAAAATAGTGACCTAATTTTTTTACTCTTGACCATCTCTTGTAAATATAAGCTCAAAGCAATATTGCCAAAATGTTTTGTTACGTGTAATTTATTTAGTAAAAAAAAAAATAATAATGAAGTGTATTTCATTCTACCTTGAACTCTAATTTCTGTTCCTGACAAGTGTGTTGTACAGCAAACCAAACTGTCCTTTTCAGGGCCAACACTTTATTTTTTAAATCAGCTACGCCAGTAACCAGTCTAGGACCTCTCCTGGTAGTAGAATCTACTTTGGTACAGTAATTACTCTACTTTAAATGGAAACAATGATTGTGTACTGTGTAGAGAGGGAGGAGGAGGGAAAATGTGGATATTGAAGAAACTTCTGGAAACTAAGACTAAAATTATTTAAGACCCAGAATGAAACCCGTCAAACAGAATTGTAAAGCACGACTGTAATATGTGGTGTCACAAGATACACCAAAAGGATTGTTTATGTTTTATTAAATTAACAAAAGTACATGGGGACTGAGCTTTGCTCGGGGAAATCATTAGTTTACACTGAGAGCAGTCTTAGTAGGCCTATTACAGATACATTAATCCATTCCCACACTCCACACTGCTCGCCTTTACTACTTCCTTCACCTCTCTTTACGTCGTGGATCTGTTTCCCTCCCTTCCCATAGCATTTTAGTATTTTAGATACAGTACATTAATCTAATTGCCACAAACAGTCCCCACATTCCGCACTGCTAGCCTTTACTACTTCCTTCACCAATCCCTATGTCGTGGACCTGTTTCCTTCCCTTCTCACAGCATTTAAGTATTGCAGATACATTAATCTAATTGCCAAAAACAGTTCCCACACTCTGCAATGCTAGCCTTTACTAGAATGTATCAAGTAATCTTCAGTGTAATCTTTTTGCTCAATAGTTACAACTGATATTTTTCCCTTTGTACTGTATTTTGTAATTTACTATTATACTGTGGATGGCTTATTATACTACACATGTTAAAAGTCTTTTGTTTACCTTGTCCTTGTCATTTTTTCAACCAACATGGTTACTTAGCCCATAAGGCCAATGTTAAAAAATTTTGACTTTCATTTTCATTTTTCTGTGAATAAGATTTTTGTTGGCAGTTCTTACTGCAGTAAACACGTTTTAGGCCAGAAAAAAACTATTTACAACATTTGAAGAAAATCAAAGTCGTTTTCAAGATCTTTGTGCAAGGAAGTATACAAGCAAACATTGCTCATATTAGAGTATAGGATACAAAACTGTGATAAATGTTGTTATGTAAGGGAACCCAAATGTGATCTTTTAATATTTAACTTAGAAAATATAACAACTTTTTATATCAACAAAGAGGATCAAGCGCAGTAGATTATTTTGCATCCCTTTGGTGCACCAGATGCTGGAGGATTTATCAGACTTCAAGAAATCCTGAACGGAAATAAGGAAAAGTAATTAAAAAAAAATAAGTCTAGGAAATAAGTCCAATGCGTTGGTTAAATACAAAGTATGAAAAGGAATGTGAAGACCTCCTGGAGAGAAAAAAATTCGCTTGAAGTTCAGGAAAGACGAGTATGGGCTAAAGTGTGGGATCTTTTGTATACCTAATAAATGTGAACCAAAAAGTTCATCACTCAGCCTCAGATTTATTTTCATAAAAAATTTGAAGAGGAAGAGAGACCACAGGAGTGGTGGGTGTTTGGGGAAGATTCCACTCTAACAGTTTACGAGCACTACACAACGGTGTGTCTACTGCGTAAGTCTCGTCAAATCTGCTGTAGTCCACAGCGAAATCATAGAAGCGCTTTCTGTAGCTTTTGATCATCTGTTTAAACCGATGGCCCCAGAGAATCTTAGATGGTAAATATGAGGTCTTAGCTTCAATAGTTTGTCCTGTTGTTTCAACTGTTCCGTTTAGAGCTACAACTATCTCAAAGTTTGCACTCAACAAGTCTACTGCGGCGATGTCGAAAAGAGGACTTGACTCGTTGATTTTGTGGAGAACTGTTGTCGGCCAAATCAAGAAAGCATCAGCCCTGAAAATAAAAATAGTGTCAAAAATGAAAGGCCATAGCAAAAATACATGGAAATTTCGGAACTCCCAATATTTTATCGAAATATCTGTTTAATAAATTCAAGGAAAAATACTACTCAGGCATCCTAAAGAAATTCATATTTGACAATAAACTAAAAAGTATAGTAAAATCAAAATCATCAACAACAAACATTTGAGTGTTATACAACACTTAAGCGGCAACCTATTTACTTGAATTTTGTTACATAAAGTTAAAAAAAGAAATGTTTAGTTAATTTATTCTAGGACTAAAAAAAAGTAAATCGTAAAATTTAGGTACCTTAAATGTTGCATGAGAGTGAAAATTTAAGAACGTACGTTTTCAGGAAAAGCACTTTTAAAATTTTTTGTTCCGTTTTTTAAAACTTTTTTTATTTTTTTTTATTTCATTGACATTTGAAGTTTCATAAAATGTCCATGGTAACACAATATCTTTGGTGATTTTTTATTAATACCCCCGCCGCAGCAAACCTGCCGTCTAAGCGAATTTCCATTTGTCCGAATTGATTTTCAATTGATCTATTTAAATAACATTAGGTTAAACGAGTACCTAGGTTTGCTGCTACAAGGAAACGAATAAAGTAGTGTGTTTTTAGTAAAATATTGTTAGCTTACTATAAAATAAATAAATTTGCCAAGTTTGATCAAAATATATCCATAAAGAAGCAAACTACAACATTTTACAATATTCTCCATAATAATAACATGGGAATTTTAAATTTACCATTTTTTTAGTTTTCTCCGTAACCAATAACCGTACAAAAACACTTTGATATACTGAATTGTTTGTTTTTTTAAGCTCTTTAAGAAGGTTTAGAGAAAAATTGGGAAATTTCGTGTTTTGAGGGTAAGAAGTGAGAAAAACCAATTTTTACCCCATAAAACCCTGTTCTCATGGTCCGATCATGCTGGATCGCGAACTCATTCAAGTTTATCCCGCCTTACACCTTCAAACCAAATTTCATCAAAATCGGATAAAAACTACTCAAGTTATCGTGTTCACGGACACATATATATATATATAAATCTATATATATATATACCTATATATATATACATATATAAAAATTTGAACGAATGGTGTTTTTGGCCTCTGGGGACATTAAAATGAAAAAGTAAATCGGTCCCGGGCCTAAGTCTTACCATGAGACCTACGGTAATAGCTACTTCCCTATAGGGAAATTCGCTAAAAGAGCACCTTTGATGGAAAAACATGAAATTTTGTCACGACCATCATGGACATAAAACTGAATATTAAAAATAGTTAATATTATTTTTATAACTATGTTTTGCTATAAATTAATTTACTTTTACGGCCATTATACAATAAACAGCTCACTAAGCTTTTGGTATATTTGGTCTTTCTAGAAAAAAAGAAAAAAAACTAAAAAAAGAAAAAAAGCCAACAAAATCTTTTAAGTTTGTATAACTCCGAAAGAACTTACCTGAGATCCGGAAAATTGTTATGTTTTTATAGAGGTGTGCTTCTTTTGTGTATAAAACATTAAAATATGATGATACTTTAATTTTTGAAATTTTTATGATAGAAATCATGAACGTGATGGTCAGGGACAAGCGGTACGGTCCTGAATTGTCTGGAATAATCTAAATCTTTTTAAACAATCCTTCAATTATACTGTTAGTTATAATAAAAATATGTGTTTCAATTGAACTAAACTGTTCAATTTACAATGATATATATTTAAGTTATTGTCACGACCAAACACAGTATAATCCATAAGGCTGGATTCGTCGTGAAAAAACCCGTGATGGTCGTGAAACTTAGGTCGTGACATATTACGTGTTATTTGGCTCTGTTCTGGCAGTAGCCCAGGGCACCTCATGTTCGCGGATACAAAGTGGACTTCTAGGTTAATGTAGCAATTGAAATATCATATCAACAAAAATTAACACCACGTCTACTTCATCAAATGAATACGTACGGTCATGGACACACCAAAATTACAAAAATCACAAACTTACCTTTATTAATCTTGTAACTACTTCTTTCAACACAAAATGACCGGCACAACAAACTTGACGTACACCCCGAACTAGTCTATAAAACAATCTGACACAATCGACGCTAGGCTTGCCACTGTTGTGCTCCAAAGTTGAAAATTTTTCCCAAATGGTCGTGACGCCAAATCGAGGGACAGACTTATTTTGTCATGGTAGTCAGTTTGCAATGACAATAAAATTATAATATGCTCCTTTTTTGTAAGTTTAATAACTATTGATGACATAAAAATATGGCTTTATATATTTCGGCATGAATAATTAGTCTAAAAACAGCGTGAAAGTTGGAAAATGTACCCTAGGGACACGTCATGGTCGTGAATTTCGAGACTTTAAAAATACGAAAAAAATGCCTAGAACCTATTTAAAACCAAATAAATGTGTGTAACATGTTGCCCCCGTCCCAAAATATATTAAAACACATAATAATAAACTACAAATCCAGTATCTACGAAGTAACAGGCCAGGGACATGAAAACGTATGTTTTTAAATTTTCACTCATGATTATTTTATCTATATTGTATAAGCAAACTATGATGATTCCTTAAAAAAATATCATGTATCTATATCTATAAAAGAGGAAGTTTGTATGTATATATATATATATGTGTGTTTGAACGTTATGGACTCCGAAACCGCTCGACAGATTGTAATGAAACTTTCAGGAATTATTAAGCATCTTTCAAGGATGGTTTTTGTGAAGTTTGGTGCAGATCCGTCAAAAGGGCTCCGCCCCAGAGGGTTTTAAGTGGGACAATGTCAGACTTTTTGAACTACAATGTTTACAAATAAATATAATTTAAAAGCAGATGTTTTCTTTCACCAACTGTTTTGTAGGTTTGAATAATCACAACGTTCTGTATTAGTCATGATTTGAAATAGTGCCACAATGTTTCTACAGAGTGCAGCACAGAAAACTATTTTACTTTTGAATAAGTCCAAATATATAAACCCCAATCGCAGCACACCTGTGCACTCAACAACGTTTAAATTCTCCAATGTTGAATATGTAAACATAAAAACCTTGATTAAAGTATTATAAACAATAAAAGGGATGGTAATGTCATAATATTTTTATCTTTTGTTCTATACCCACACAAGCTAACATAAATTATTAAGTGAATAATAATCATGCGTGCTATCTCAGGTATTCAAATGCCATTACTGGCATTAAAAGAAGGAACTCCATTAATACTAATGCGAAACTTAAATCCACTTAAAAGGAGAAATAGTCTTAATCCCAAGAATACTGATGACTTCATCCAAATTACCCTCTGAATTGAAGCAGCTACAATTTCCTTTTTTTTTGTCTTTCTTTCCCAATCACCATTATAAGGCACTAGGGCAAACCCTGACTATCGTCGGTTTAAATTTTGAAAATGCATGCTTTTCACACGGACAGCTGTATGTTGCGTGCTCACGTGGTGGTAGGTACGTCTAAAAACTTATAGAAAAAACAAAAAAAATTGTTTAGGCCCTATTCACTGGCAATTAAGTAAAATATTATATTTTTATTTTTGGTACACACTTTTATTATTCATTGTAAAGAACAAATTACCATTTACAATAATAGTTGTTAAGCGCAGCAACGCGCGCCGGGTAACTGCTAGTATAAATCTGAAATATAAATATTATAAATAGGCCTACCCTCCAGAATCAATACTGAGCTCGATGCTATGTTGGTAGTGAGGTAAGACCTCACCCTCAGGTGTTATTCTGTGCTGCAATAACCAAGCTCTGACTGTAGCTCCTACTATGTGTGACTTGCGGTAGTCTCCTACACGGAACAACAGGCTCAGACAGCCATCGCGTAGACATATCACTGCCTGCTTGCTGCAACAACCACAACACTTTGGTGGATTTTTTCCCTTTTGTACACAGGTAATATTTTACATCCATGGCAAGGAAGGAATTTTTTTTCTAGAAATATGATTCTCAGCCAATATCATGCTTGTTAAGTTGTTTTCTACTCAAATCTTTGGATAGAAAAATCTTAAAGATTTTTTGAGATCAACAATCTTGTTTGACAAACTGTTTACTTTGTCAATTTGCTCGCAGTTGTCTCTTGAACTTGGACTCCAAAAATTATCAAACACATGGTAGGCTAAGGGTAATGCAATTTTCCTAGAAAAAGTTTAAGAAACTCCTTATTTTGAGCATTATAAAACATACCTGAATATTATGTGCTGACTTCTAGCCTTTGGACGAGACAGTTTGACAAAGACTATTCCCGCCATCGTAGATTGTATGAGCACTCCGAAAATGCTTTGAACGATGAGCAAAGCAGTAGCTTCTGGACACTCGGTGGTGGGGGACCGAGTACCGTAGCCAGTCGAGTATTGTGTCTCAAGCGAGAACAGGAAACAGGATATGAAATCGTCCATTTCAGTCACACATTGGGGGCTAAGAAAATTTGATGTATTAGTTTGTATAATATACTCAAGGAGGTTTTAATGGCACTCTTTGGCTAATAACCAGTGGGTATCAAAAGTTTTGAAAAAAGTTTAACAAAATCAATCATGCATGGTTACCAATTAGAATAACTGATTAGGAAGAGAAGTACAGTACAGTACCGAAGATCTCAGTTTGATCCTGAGAAAAAGTAGAAGCTTTTTGATGGATCAAATCTTGACCTATCTGTTCTTGATCATTGGGCTTTTTATATTTTAGTCCTGGTTAAAGAAACAACTTACCCTAAATTTGTTGTACCAAAGTTACGTGGACATATCACTCATCTCTACTCTCATGCATACCCTAATCTAGTTTGTGTTGCAATAAACTTTAGTTGTGTCTCTAGCCATACCATAGATAAACTGATTGAGATACAATATTAATTTTTATGTCAATATGAACCCAACGGCAGCTCCAGTTAAGAAACATTAAAAAGATACTGACTTTTTACAGGATCAAACCAACAACTTTCTAATGATGAGGTAAGTGTTATGACCACCAGGGTAACGATGTGTGACAGTGAACTTCCTTCAAATCCTTACCTATATTCATCATAGTTGTCGTAACCTTTAAGGTTGCCGTGTTCGTGTGCGATTACCCACCACAACAGTCCGAACAAGAACCAAGTGACGAGAAAACTTAGAGAAAATACAAGAAGTGTGACTCTCCAACGAGACTCTATCAGAGAAGTAAACACATCTTGTAGATGGAAATATATCTTGTTGTTTGGAGCATGTCGCTTTCTCACTGTGAACCGCCCTCCTTTAAACAATGATGTTTCTTTTGCTCTAAAATCAAAAAGTGATATGCTCTAATGTAGTGTTGGTTTAGACGTAGTTTAATTTAAATATGCTGCATAAGTATTAAATCTTTCTCTAAAAGATTGCAAACTTAACACATGCTATTTAGTAAAGACATTACCTATTAATACGTTTTGTTAGTCATCTCTCCATTCTGTCATCTAGTGCTTAAACGCAACCAGATGATTATAATTTTTTTTTGTAGCTACAGTTTTTTGTTGAACATTTTAAAAACATTGTCTTTATTTTATTTGATTCTTTGTAAACATCACCATACGTTGCAATCCTCTAAAATGTGTATCACACCTTTTTTCCTGGTGTACCAGTACCACTTCACAAGGAAAAATTATACCACCAAATTGTACCACCTTGTACCAAATTGTACATGAAGGTATATTTTATGGATGGAATATATGAGTATTCCTTGTTTTTATAACGTATCCAACCCACTTTCAATCCTTGGGTATTTATGTTTTTCGAGAAGGTTAGGTATATTATTGCAATTGATAAATACTCTAGTAAAGTACTGAGCACCAAACACACAGGTTTTTATTTCCTCATATTACTTGAATGCTAATATTTAAGTTTTTATTACATTAAACTAACAGAGAAATCTTGCCCTCGTTCTTACTGGGTCGTTCAAACATCTGATGGTTGTATAAAGAATTAATTGCCTGACTATCCAGCCTAAACAAAATAAAATAAACAACATATACGGTACTTTTACTTAACCCTTAGAGTGCCAGGCGAGAAATAAAAGTAACGCTCAAAAAATGCCGATGATTTTTCCCGAAGGTCGCGCTAAAAATGCCGAGCGCGATCTGGCGATTTTTAGGTTAAAATTTCGTAAAAATCGAATTTTCGATATTTCGACCAACGAAAATCGATGTATCGCATCTAGTAACTTTCTACTCAATGTTAATATTTGGGTTAAAAGAATCCGAGTATCCATTCGGTTGTTATGACAACTGTTCGATCATTACGAAACGTCCGGTCAGCCGGACGTTGGCACTTTTGGCTCGTTCTAAAAACGTCCGGTAGGCCGGACGTCGGCACTTTTGGCTTGTTTTAAAAACGTCCGGTTCCCCGGACGTTGGCACTCAAAGGGTTAAACATGACTATGTACCAGTACCACCACAGTGACCCCTGCGTACCACAGGCTGAGATACACTGCTCTAAGATATGAGAGATTGTTGTGAAAAATTTCTGCAACATTCTCTTACAATATTTTGTGAATATCCAGCGTAAAGGCATATATTACTCATCAAAGCAGATTACTTGTGGAATGTAAGAGACGACACTGGTCCTGAAGCGATGTAGTCCTTATCCTCAGGATCGCTCGTCCTGTGGTCATCCAGGTCTTGTATTTGCACATACATCCTGTCAAATTGTAATCAACTTACTCAACATTACAATATTATTATTTTGTGAGGAAAAACTTTTTGTTCAAGATTGATGAAGTAGATGTATAAGTAAAAATATTTTAAAAAAATATTAAAAAAAAATATTTCTTTGATTGTAAGTGAATCTGAACACTGATTCTCAAACATGTTAAAGCTACAACTTTATTAAAAATTAACTGGCTATTTAATCTTTACAGTCTTATCTACGCAGCTGTTAATTAATAGCCCATACAGCCACCAATGGCAATAACTAATATAAGGGACCTACAGTTTATAGTGGAATCCAAACCACATAATGTTTGCCTTGTAATTAACAAATTGGTCTAATTATCAGGATAGTACTGCGGATATAGTCTTAGTACTCACTAGTGCAGATGTTAAACCACACCAGGGAGTATCGCATCCACAGTGCATGTCTATAAATATCCACAATTAGTGACCTCCTAGTAGCTGGATTACAGGACGACACCACCGTCCCAGTCATAATGAAAATAGTAGAATGAAATGTACCAGTAGTTGTTGAGATGTATTTCTAGCCTAGTGGTTGTAGAGTCTTGGATTTAGGTGCAGGAGAGACGTGTTTTATCTCTGTGGCATATCCACATCAATTTGAGGGGTTTGGATCACTTTTCCATAAAAGCATCTGTTTTTCTTAGTTTTCTAAGTAAAATTGCCATGTAGACAATAACAAAAAAAATAGCAACCTATAGAGTGTGGTGATTGTCAGTTGCTCATTTGTGTTGAATATGTCTACTTTATAAAAACCAAACTAACAAGTAACTAAAAGAACAACCTTCTGTAGTACAGGTGTAAACCCCCATAGAATGAAAAACTAAGACATTGGCACTCTTTGCGATTTACTCATTCTAACTAATGCAGAATATAAATTCTGATATTTTCCCGCGGCCATGTGGACATTACCATCATCTTGCGCGATCGCGGCATAATTCTGATTATCTCTTGCGGCCATGTAGAAATCATTGTATCTCATAGCGAAAATATTATTACGCCTTACATATACTATTACACACTGTCTCCAGCAGTTTCATGCCAAATAAACCTGTGTATCCTTTTATAGCTTCCCAAAGGCCTCTCTGGTAGGGTGTTTTGTAAAAATTTATGTTTTCTTGTTCATAAACAGGCAAGGAACACATGATAAAATATATTTATAGTTAAGTTGGTGGACAATTCCTGGAATTGAAAGAGTCAGCTATTAAAAAAAAAATATTTGTTGAAATTAGTTATATGTACATATAATATTTAAAATAATAACAAAAACCAATGTAGGGTAAAACAAATGTACTAGAGAGGTCATCCAGTGGTCGAAAACTCAACCAAAACTATGTAATATACAGACTTCTCTATTTTCACCTCACGCAATAAGTACCCAAACATGTGATTGGAATTTCTTTCATTTGTTTTGATTTTCTGTTTATATTTCGTTGTTATTTTGTCACCCCATATTTTGGCAACCCATGCCCATGTTGATTTTTATAAAAATTTTAATTCATTATTTGTGCTTATTTTTGAGCCTATTTTAATTTATAAAAGGGATTTCTGCGCATTTTCAGGCAAATATCTTTCCAACATTATGCATAGATTTTTCCTGTGATGCAAACGAGCTGAGGAAAAAGGTTTTAAAGAAACATGCTTGCCTATTAATATATAGATTGGATTAATATAAAAAGAAGACGTACTTAGGGTTATAGTTTTGAAGTTACTCTGATATTTAAAAAATTAAGTTTTAAAAAAATTTTTGAAGTAAGGAATTTTACTTTTATTAACTAAAATAATTACCTGAATGTATGTTATACAAGCTTTCAGTCAAACTAATTAATATTTTAAGTGGCTGATATAAAGTGGCATTAATTAACTGGGTATTTAGATTAAAACCTCCACTTATCTACAATAATTATCTCCAAGTACCCTGTAATAATTTTATGTAGAACATTTTGTATGCAATATTTTAAATAACCTAGTTAAAATAATCTAGTTACTTTTTTCAATAATATTTTTATCACAAGTGAAAATGCCAAACTACAGTAAATTGTTCACATAAAACTATAGGTTCATTCGTTTTACAGAATATTTAGCACAACAATATCACTGCCTGAAACTTCATATTTATAATTTAAAATTCAACTTGATTTTGATATCCCTAGGCCCTATATATTTTCAACTCAAAAGAGTCCTAATCTTTCTTTATTCCTTACATCTTTTACTTAATTTATAATAAATTACCTAACTTTCTTCTCTTGGCATTTTAAAAATAAAATTTGTATATAGTAATATACTGTATAGTTTCTTTCTAAAATCTTTGCATTTTAATTAAGAAGGCTAATCTGTAATTAAATTTCAAACCAAAACCCTATAGATCATAGTTATAATATTAATATTAATTAGTGACCAAAGAGATTTAAAAAAAATAATACATAAATCTTACCTCGATTTGAAGACTAAGGCTACAAAATGAATTGTTATCCATGGAAAAACTGGACACTTTCAATATCAATGGAAGTTTACTGTATACAAAACCCAACCAAACAATGAACTTCCCCAGTAAAGGAAGAGTATTGCGATTTTGGCAGCTGTTTGTACTTCCTCTAATTTGCAAACTGGTTACTTCCTTGCCATTCATTGCAGCACAATACAAATTTCAGTTTATAAAAAACCCATACAATTTGTTCATCAAAGGTCAATAAACCAGGTATAGAGGATTTAATAAAAATTAATTAGAAGTGGTTAAAATGGTTTTAGTTACTAAAGGTGCAGATGGTCTTGCAGTTAAGAGCACGGAGCTTTGGTCCTTAAAGCCCCAGGTCCAAATCCATCTAATCGTGACAGGTCTTTCAATGTGTTTATTCTTTGACCAATTGGATCAAATTATAAGATTTACAGAGTTTGGGGCGCTGATCCGGAACCAAGACCTAATGTGGGCTATTATCTTTGATGGTTATTAGAGGTACCTATGAGGAAACTCCCCAGAATTTTATGAGGATATCAATGAATGTAATGTTTACACATTAAGCCCTATAATATTCTTGATAGTTTGCTTGGTAATCTTCATCCTACTAATCTTGGTAATTTAACTTTCTCTGTATTTTAGCGGAGCAAAGCTCTTTGGAATCAACTTCAATGCAAACTTTCTAACACATAAACTCAATAATGACAGAACATATTTTAGCCCAACTTACAAAGGTTGTAAATGTTTGGAAGGTTTAGACAAAGCAATTTTAATTTTTGATAATGCCTATATAATTTAAAAGTAACTCAAAGTTTTAGCGAATTTTCCATATAGGGAATAAGCTATTACCGTTGGTCTCATGGTAAGACCTGGACCGGGGACCGATTTAATTTTTCGTTTGAGGTCCCCAGAGACCAAAAACACCATCCGTTCAAATTCATATATATATATATGTCCGTTAGCACGATAACTCAAGCAAAAATTATACGATTTTCATGAAATTTAGTATAAATGTGTAAACCTACTTATTCGAACAAATTCGCAAACCAGCATGATCAGACTATGGGAACGAGGGTGTATGGGTAAACTGGGGAACTGGGGCTTTCCCATTTTTACCCTAAAAACATAAAATTTTCAAATTGGGAATAAATATGTCATATTTATGGAAATATTTTAGTAAAAATGTAATCAGACAAGTTGAAATTTGCTGCAGGTTTGCTGCGGCGGGGGTATTTTAACATTTTAACATTGGTCTTATATGGGTTGCCATCATGGTGGAAGGGGGTTGCCATGATGGTTACAAATAAGGATGTAAATTTAAACTAAACAAAGAATCATAGCAAAATGTTAAAATCAAGCCATGACCTAAACACAGTAGAAAGGGAAAATATCGGATGATGAATTATTTGACCACTGATTAAATAATACAGAGAAAGTATTAAGTTTACATTTTAGTCGCAATTTGGAAACGACCACTGATCAAATAGGTAAAGCATTTAACAGATTTGATTTACGTTGCTAAATAAGGTATAACAAATAACATTTATCTGTGTTATTGAGAATTAAAACAACTAAATTATTCTACAGTTTAAATAACTAGGTATTCTCAAATCAATATTTTTATCTAAATAGGCTATTATGAAAGTGCTTTCTTATTATTTACTTTGAAATATTATATTTTTGATATCATCGTGTTTCATGTTGGCAACACACTTGTTGTATTGATTGTTGTGTTGACAACGGCCTGGGGTATATTATTGCCCAAGAAGGATAAAGTATTTTTTTGCGTTTTCATACGATAAATACCTAATTCGCATAAGAGTGTCATAAGGAAAATTTCAGAATGCATTCTCAAAAACTGCCTGATATTTGTAGAAAATGAAGACGAGCAATAAAAGCCCGAACAACTACTTCTGGCAATGTTTAGAGATAGTTTAATGTAGAACACTTGCTTGAAAACAATGCTTTTCATAATTATGTTAAATGTACAAAATTTAAGAGAGAAACACCTCACAAGGTATGGTGACAACTATTTGTGCAATTCTCTCAAAGCAGGCAAGTCTTTGAAAAGTTACATCTGCTAATTGTATGGATCCATGCAGGATTGCGCCTGAATTGCAAAATCTGACCAATATTGAGAAAATTAATGTCGATTAGTTTAGGTTCAAGGGCGAATTCAACCAGAACTGTTGGTTCAACAGATGACATTAGAAAGCAAACACAGGAATAATACTGATACAAAGGATGTGTTCACATCTTTAGGCCTACTAATGAAACTTGTTATAGATGATGATAGTTCTGAACGAAACTGATAAGTTAAATTGGATGAAACAGTTGTATTTTGTATCTATAAACATGTATTAATTTATTGCTTTATTAAAAACTATGAAACGTGATCACTCCGCTCAAATAGCTTTCACAGCTATGAAAGCAATCCTAGTAAACAAGTGATTTTTACCATCAACTGTAAAATACATTAATGAGTTGCGCATTGCCAGGTTAAACTTTCCATCCTAATAAATTTAAATTCCACTGAAACTTAAATAAAAAATGCCAAAATTAGTTGGCTGAAACGTGAGTTTCATTTATATTAATTTTACAAAATAAACTACACTGAGTCATGGCTGGGTCCCCAGGTACTATTCAAAATTAACAGCACATTGAAAATCAATACCGGGTACCTGATTTTTTTGTAAATCAGAACTCAACATTTGAGGACACAAGTACGCTCACTGTTATGATGGGTTTTCTAGCCATCCCATACATCCAATTATTGTATTGTGACGAGCCTCTACTACAAAATAGTAACATTTATGGATATAGTGATATGTTTTTGTATCAAGAGGAAAACCCACTTTTAACTTTGTTTAAGTTAATCTGTGTTTGAACACCATTGGTTTTTTTTACGTTATTTTCAAGGCAAAGATTCTAACCTTGGTCTTGTTACTATTGAATGTTGATTTTTTTTGTTAGATGGCATCATTAATTGATATCTGAACGACAGAATTAATCTCATTTGGAATCAAACCACCGACCTTCAGATTTGGAGATGAGCACAATCCATCCACTTGGTACTACCTGTACTACACTGCTGTAAATGAGTAAAAAAAAAAATACTTTAGTAAATAACATTAATGTTCTGAAAGGAAAAATTTAGAATAAGATAACTGGATGAATAATAGTAGCCTATTCTAACTTCAACAATTTTGAATTGGGGAATTTATTTGACTGCTAAGTTTATTCATCCTCTACCCCAACTTAAAATGCCCTTACAATTCAATTTAAGTAAAATTGCTAATTTTTTGTGTGGAATGGAATACAAAAACACTGAAGACAAGAAACATATTTTATTTAGATGAAAACCTCAAGCTAAACAACAGTGCATATCGTGCTAAGTAAGTGATTCACAGCCAGTTTATTTAGAACAATAAAGATGCCTTTGAGCTAAGTATAAAAAATACATACATAGCTTGTAAAATGAAGATTCTTAAGTTAAACTGTAGATATCAATATTTAAATTAACATTATTTTTGATAAGTTCCTCTCTTAACTGATTAACCAAGTCATAATAAGTCTGTGATTCACTCTCGACCACTACGTTTGTTAACAAAGGACAAGACATTAAGAAGGATTTGAAAAATTGAAAGGAGATATTGATCCCCTTCAAAAAGCTTGCACTTTCCAAATGAGAAAATTGATTGATGGTCATAACCGTGCGAAGAGCATCGTCCAAACAACCTGAGTAGCTGTGGTTGTTCAGAATGATTTTCCTGATAAATTTAGCATTTTTCAGCAAAAGTGGTAAGATATGATTAGAGTCCCAATATACACCTTTTATGATCAAACTCTTCAGATTGCTAAACAATTTCTCATTGTTTGCAGTAGAGGATACAAACGGAAACTGGTTGCTGATATAACCCCTGTCAAATATATGAAAATGCATGTGCATCGACTCCAAATTAGGACATGTCCAGCCTAGTAGTCTGAACAGCTCATTCGCAGACTGGATAAAGCTAGAAACAAAATTGAATACCCTTAGGTATGTTCCCTTCACCTCTAAATAATGTTTCAAAAAGTCATCAAATGGGAAATTCGTTAAACTTAAAATTGAAATTTTGAGTCCACTCGAGGACAAGGCAGAAATCACATCACTTCTGTAATCGTCTGAAGAGAATGCGTAGGTGAGGTGGAGCTCTGTTAGGTGAGGACATTGAAGCTCTATTCTCGGTATCCTGGATGCTCGAGGATGGTAGTCCGTAATGCTCACCAGCGATAGCTTGTCATCTGGGGACATGGAGTCGAGCAAAATCCCAGTGTCTGTGTAGTTGATACGGCGAAGTTTAGGCAGGGAGAGAAGGAGATGTTTAATCCCATCATTTGTAATCTGACGACCACCACAACCTTTTCTGATAATACAAGTCATCTGGATTTCGACTAATTGCTTGCAACTGCATAGAGACTTCAAACCGGCATCAGACACGCACAGCTGAAGTTTTAAAGCGTTATGTCTGTCTTTAGTACGCGTGTGACACGACTTGGAGACGATGTTCACAAACTCCAGGCTCCTACAATGATTTCCGACCACTTCCAATATTTCGTCTGTACACACTTTGTTGAGATCGAGCCTTAGTAGGTTTTGTAAAGAGGGTAAAGTCAGTTTCCAATACAAATCGTTTACTACCTTATGAGCAGTAAGCACCTTCATGTTTTTATGTATATACATTGACAGGACAATCCTCGGATCTAAAGTTTGTTTAAAACACAGATTCTGGCAATGTCCACTTGCTGTCGTTTCGAAAAGTAAAACGTCTGTGGAGTTGTATAGTTCATCAATAATATGAGTTGGAACACTTGTTATTAGATACTGATTGAATTTTGAAACTGTTTGTTGGCACTGAACACTGTCAAAGTCACCGGCACTTTTGTATATTGTACTGGCAACCTGGACAATCCACAATCTTGTCTTCAAGAGAGCTGTATTGTACAACGTTGCAGGCACCTTTAGTTGAGGCATCTCTGAAACAAGACAGATATATAAGGGGGTTGAGACAACATGTTGGGTGAGGCTAGTCTAGGTGTAACATAACAAAAGTTAAAAAACTGTAATCTTGAATAAAGTTTTGTTATCTGTTTCCTAAAAGGAAAACCGATTTACAAATAAGCAATACCCCCGCCGCAGCAAACCTGCAGACTAAGCGAATTTCCATTTGACTGATTGGATTTACACTGAAATGTCTACTTAAAAATATAACATTTATTCCCGATTTAAATAGAATTAGTTTAACAAGTACTTAGGTTTGCTGCATCAGGGAGGGTAAAACTGTTTTTTTTGTTTGTAAAATGTTAATAGTTAGTAAGAAATAAAAACATTTTCCAAATTTGATCAAAATATGTTTATAAACAAGCAAACTACAACAGTTTACTTATTCTCCATAAGAATAACATGGAAATTTTAAATTTACAATTTTTTGGAATTTTCTCCGTAACCATTAGGCGCATAATAACGCTTCAAAATACTTAATTTTTTTTTTTTTAAGCTCTACAAAATGGTTTGGAAAGAAATTGCTAAATTTTATGTTTTTTGGGTCAAAAATGGGAAAACCCTATTTTTACCCCATAAAACCCCCCGTAAACCCCCGTTCCCATGGTCCGATCATGCTGGATCGCGAACTCGTTCGAATAAACGTAGGTTTACACGTTTGTACCAAATTTCATCAAAATCGGATCATTTTTGCTTGAGTTATTGTGCTAACGGACACATACATATATATATAAATATATAAATATATATATATATATATGAATTTGAACGGATGGTGTTTTTGGCCTCTAGGGATCTCAAAACGAAAAAAAAAAATCGGTCCCGCGTCCAGGTCTTACCATGAGTACTACGGTAATAGCTTATTCCCTATATGGGAAATTCGCTAATATTCCCTATATGGGAAATTCGCTAAAAAAATGAAACTTTTAAACAGCCAACGATGGCCAGAATTTTCATATCAAATCCCCAATTTCATTCTTACACAATGAGTTAAATAGATCACAAAGTCAGCAAATAAGAGAATAAAGCATTTCTGTATTTTATTTTTCATCTTAAGTTATAGGTAGGCCTATTAATTTGATGTTGCATGTAATAGCCTAACTTTAGGCCTAAAAACTTTACTGATTGTCTACTTTTTTATAGTTTTCTTTCACAATATGATTCTTTACAATATGTAACTGTATTGTATGTTTGACTTTAGGTGTATTTGGGCTCCGAAAGAGAGCAGGAACAACCAAACACACAATGTTGCGTCAATTCTTATACATTAGATAGCCTAACATCAGATTTTTTTATATGTTTTTAAGGTTATGTTTGTTAATCATTAAGCTTATAGCTAAAACGTTTCATAAACATTTCACTTTTAAATAAACATGACACCACTTAAACAATGGAACGTCATAAATCTTTGTATCATTACCCATTGGAATGAACAATGTTAAATAGACAACTTTTGTGAACCTAATCATAAGTTAGCCTACATTGAGCTAACCTATTGATTTTGGCAAGTCTACGTAATCATGAGAAATATATTGGTATTTGGGCTAGACACAGGGGTGCCCAGTGGGGAGGAAAGTGGTGCAAGTGCATCACTGGGATTTACCGGGTGGAATTTTTGAGGGGGATTTTATTTTATATATTACTGTACCATTAAAAATTTATTAGGCCTATGTGTCTTATGTTTAGCCCTAAAATTCTTTTTTTTTATTCATACATCTTATTAACACTTGCAACGTAATGTTGGCTATTCTTAATTAACATTTGTCTCTCGCAAAAATCCGATGTCTTCGCGACCGCGGAAAATGTCAAAACATTGCTGCGATAGCGCGAGGCGATGATGATATGATCCCTACTGTAGAAAGATGTTGAGATATTGGCCGCAATTATGGGAAGCGGTTATAATGTCTTTGCAACCGTGGAAGGATATCAATATATTGTCTCGAACACGGGAGACAATGATGATGTCTTCGCGACCGCGGAGGGATATTAAGATATTGCATTGATCATGGGAGGGGGTGATGGTGTCTTCCTACTGCTGAGGGATGTCAAGATATTGTATTTATCATGAGAGGCGGTGATGATGAGTTCGCAATCGCGAAGGGATATTTTTATATTGCTGCGTTCTCAGGGGGCGGTGTTAATCATAGTCATAATTCTTCATTTACGATTTATCTTCAAGAACAGTAGATAAATCAACATTAAAAATAAGTAATGAGTTCATTTGTTTGTCTTTGCTTCTTTGTAATATTCCCTGATGGTGTAAAATGGTCTCACAAGCAGCCACTTGTGTAAAGCCGACTTAAGATCTTCATCTTCATGGTCTTCATTGTTTTAGGTGGAGCGTTGCATAATCTACGACCTGCGTACAAGGCTTACTTCTCAAACTAAGTGGTTCGGTGATTGAACAGGTAGTAAGCAGTGGCCTGTCTTGTTTTGTAGGAATGGACATCTTCTACTCTTGGAAATTCCTCTCCATCAGCATTGAGTATAACAGACTGGATATACAGCAACACTACTGTCATAATCCCTAGGGTTTTGAAAGCTTCCTGGCAGCTGTCTCAGAAGTTCAGGTTGGCAAGGATTCTGATGACCTTTTTTTGTAGGATAAGAATCCGGGTGAGGTTTTCTTTGGAGGTTCTTCCCTATAGCCTATTGCAAGACCGTATCTGATAAGAGATTCAATCAGTGAAAAATAAGCTGTTTTTGCAGTTGACAGCCCACCAATCCATTTCGTCCCTCGAACCTCATACATATCAGGCCTCAGGCTCTTGCTAAGGCTATATGTGTGGGCCTTCCATGAAAGGTCAGAATCTATGGTGACTCCAAGCAGCTTGGCTTCTGATGCTGGGTTGACAGCCGGTATCTGAAAATTGCTTGTGTCCACGGCTAAAATGAAGATAATCCCATTTATATTAGATAACTAATATAAAGTGTGTTTTGGACGGGTTGATAGCGAGGTCATTATGTTTGCTATATACAGTAGACCCCCTCTTAACCGACCCTAATGGGACCGGACCTAGGTCGGATAACTCAAAAGGTCGGATAAAACGGGCAATCCCTAAAATCAGAACATAATGAAGTGCTATTCATTTGGAATTATATAATCATTATTTTGAAGTCATACTTGCATTATTTATAAAATAAACTACTCTTATTTCCTTTTAAATATTGATAGAAAAGTCACAAATAACCACAAAACACGGTTAAGTCAAATAGGCCTACTTTCAGTGGAATATATTATAATACTAGGCAAGAGTCAATAAAATTCCTATTTTAATAACTATTAGTACCTATTGTAATGTTGATGCTTTCCAAATACATCGTAATACAGTACAGAACCTTTTGTCGGCATTAAAGATACAAGCAACCATTTTGTTACAAGACAGGACGTTTATTTATAGCCTCTCACTGGAGGCTCGAGGCAAAAAAACTATTTTGACCTTGGAGTTGTTAACCCCCCTTCCCTGCCTTCCCTACAAGTTGCTTTGTTTGTTTACTCCGGCGATAAGATAATCAATTCTCAAAATCGTAACGCACTTTATGATGTTATACATTTGCCGCACAGATCAAATCAGATCAGATGTGCTCGAGCTACGAACAATGATGACAAACTGACAATAGGCTATGCTATATTTTTTGTGATAAACACAAAATAACTTATTGTTAGTCATATCCTGTGGAGATAAGCGTATGGTTCAGTTCTCATCACCCAGCGTGGGAGCGGAAATGCTAAAATTCCTAGAAAGCGTCGGTTAAACCGAGCTGCTCTCAAAGCAAGGTCGGTTAAAACAAACTGTATTATTTTAAGATCGAAGGCGGATAGTCCGATTATCGGTTAATACGAGGTCGGTTAAGAGGGGGTCTACTGTACCACTGCTTCATTTAGGGCAGAGTTTCTCAAAGTGTGGTCCATGTGGTTAGTGCGATCAGTTTTTTGGGGGTCACAAAAAATATTCTTATTAAATTTATTTTTAACCACTCACACCAAAAGCGCCTATTTTTGAAAATAACAGTTATGGTTTGTATTACAAAATGCAAATGCTAAACACATGCCTATGACAGGAAAATATTGGGTTAATTGTAGGGGATGGGGGTAATTGTAGGGGTTCCGCATTATGTATACATAATTAATTATGAGGGGTCCTTGAGTAGATGAAGTTTGAGAACCCCTGATTTAGGGCATTGATAGTGTCAGTTGCAATGCCGAATCATTGCTTATCAATATTTAGGTGTCATCTGCATCCATTATGCATTTGATGTTCTCATTTTGTTGGAAGACAGATCGGAAATCATTAGTAAAGAGGATGAAAAGCACAGGGCCAAGAACAGAACCTTTTGGAACACTCCTTCTTATTGGGAGAGGGCTAGACTGAGCTGTAATTTTCTTCCTACTATTGATATCTTGCGTAATCTCAACTACTTAGGTTCAGTGAGATAGCTGGAAAACCATGCTCTTTTGATACCTTGAACTCCCAAAGCCTCTATTTTGTTTAGAACCTGTTCATGTCCAATGCAGTCAAATGCTTTTGTAGTCTATGAGACTATGTTGATGTCTTGCAGCCGCAGAGGAAAAGGGGATTTCAAGATCTTTGCCTTCTTGGGGGAAATGTCAAGGCATTGCCACAATCATAGGATGCGATGATAATGATGTCTTCGCTGCTTTGGAGGGATTTAAAAATATTGCCAGGTCAATAGGGGCAGTGAAGATTGTCTTTGCTACCATACCACGGAAGGATGTCAAGATAGGCTACCACCACGAAAAATAGGGGCTATGGTGATTTCCTCCCGACCGCAGAGGGATGTCCAGATATTGCTTTGATTACGGGAGGCGGTGATGATATCTTCACAGCCATGGAGGAATGTCAAAATTGCCTAGATCACAGGAGGGGGTGATGATATCCATTCAAACATGGATGGAGGAATTAAAGATACTGCCGCCATCATGGGAAATGGTGATGATGTCTTTGCGACTCCGGAGAAAAGGGGGGATGTCTAAGTAAGATCTTCGCGTTATTCGGGGGAATGTTAAGATATTGCCGCTATCATAGGAGGTGATGACAATTATGTCTTCACGACAGCTTGGGACTGTCAATATATCGCTGGGATAACGGAAATAGATGATGTCTTCGCTAATGCGAGGGAATAACTAAACATTGCCGCAGTCATCAATTATTGCCATGACGACTTTATCATCCAGGCAGAAAGAAAACCGCCTTTTCAGAGAAGGGCCTTGGGAGAAAAATTGCTCTATTCCCTTAATTCCCGAAGGGGTTACCTGGTCTTGCGTTGATCATTTGTGGCTATAGGCCTAAAAGCCTATACTTTTTTCTGGGTTGGATGAAAATACCGTCTCAAATCCTCTATCAGCATGACCATTTCATCATTTCAAAATTACCCTAACATATATCATCATTTGTCCATTTTTGTATTGAAAAACGAATCTTCCTAAAAAAAACTTTCTGCATTGACAGTTATCTACCTGGTGTTTAAATATTTATTAGCCTGTTTTACAATAGAAAATTCTTAATTTTTTAGTTTCGGTGGAGATAGGTGGCAGGTGGTTGGTGGTTATTATTATTAGGTACCTAAGTTACCCATTATTTTTTTTAGTACAAAGAAAGGGGCAGTATAATATTTTGGGGGCTGGCGGGGGGGGGGGGGGAGGCACCTTTGACTAGGCCTACTATTAGCCCTATAACAAGCAATAATCACTAGAATTTTAAAATTTTCTACAAGATTTCTTGGCTAAAAAGTCAAAATAAATAAAAAAAGTTAAGTTAGCCTAGGCCTAAACTAATTTAACTTAAGGTAAAAATAATACAAACAATAAAAATAACCTTTAAAGATCATTTGCCCCTTCCTCCTCAGTTACTTCATTGAGAAGAGAACCCGGAGGTAGAGGCGATTTCCTGTCATATACTTGCTCGATGTTCATTGATGACAATCGACATAAGCTGATTTGATGACAATAGTTCAAGCTGTGTCAGCATGTCTTGTTTATTTCCATAGACACATCTTGTATGTAGAGCCATATGAACTGCTTGGGCAAATATATTTATACTATCTTGTTGCTTAGTTTTGTTGTCACCTTCAGTTTTTATGATCAAGGAAACAATGGTAGACAAACTCTGGGTGGAGATCACATTGTTCCCGCTTACACTTTTTTCGTTTTCAAACAAAGAGTTTAAAAGAGCCAAATGTAACTGAGAATACAAGCTGTAGTCTTCAATAGGTGCATATAATGGTGACAAAACACACCACTTAAACAGCCCTGCATAAGGTGTAACAGCGGGCATTGGTATACCTCCAAGAGGCAAAGCTGGTTGTAAGTTAATGATCAAAGCAGTTATGCAGAGACTAGGATTATCTGCTACCCACAGAGTAACAACTTCCAGAAGCCTTGAAGGTGGGGGAACCAAACAAGATTTGTCGGCGCCATAATAAATTTCTGCTACAGCAGTCAAGAAATTTGCAGTGAAAAGTGGTGCGATGGTGGGCAAATCCTGCAGAGAACTATTGCCTTTGGGTACTAAAATGAAGTGATCATTGACGAGACCCTGAGCTAGCTGAATTGAAAACTTAGAAGTACACCCCACTTGCTGAATCAAAACTGCTGTAGCACTTAGTACTGAACTGTTGTTGATTGAAATTGAAAGCGAGACAAGCTTCACAAGCAGCCTTGATCTATCTCCATGAGATGAGGGGAATAAAGACATAAATATAGAATTTCGCCACACTTCATTGATGTTTGGATGAGACAGGTAGTCACACACAACTTCTAAGAGCATTAATTCTTGGATAGCACTTAATTTCTTTCTTTTGAAACCTCTTCGGTCAACCTCACAAAACACAAATTCTGCAATGAGTTCCATGGCAAAATCTGTCTGCTTGATACTTTGTGCTCTCCCCAGGCCATTAATACTCAAACACAATTTCTCAATAGTTCTTAAACTCTCTTTGACACATATAGGAAAATCTAATTTTCTTAGAGACTGTTTTATATCAGTAAATCCAGAAGAATTCAGTGGTAAGCCTGATTCATACATTTTGATTTAGGGCTATGTGTTTAAAGAAAGTTACACTAACTTAGTTGGCTCTCATCCGAAGTTCTTAAAACTATCAAATGAAATGGGCAAGCCTAGAAGAACACGAAAAATCTACAGTCTAAGTTAAGACTGAAGTAATAATGATGAACATACATGTATCGAATTAGGCCAAAATCCTCCTTTATGAGTCAAGTAGATTTGTCTCCGATGCGATGCTGACTTGTCCGAGATAAATGTCATAAACAAATCTAAGCAATTCAGGTTAGGCTATTACGTTTTATAGGCTTAGGCCTATTAAGCTGGACTAATTTTGTGAAATTCACATTTTGAAACAAAATTATTCACCATTACAACACTTTTTATCACATAAACTATCTTAATTGACATGGAAAAAACCTGCTACACTAAATTTGTCAAACGTTATCAAAAACTAAATCACAATCACATTATTTATTATGCTAATGATGACAGCCAGAGCAGAGCCGAGCCAGGTATGTATTGGATTGGTAATTGGTATTGGTGTAGAACCAGAAACAGAACTTACAGGACAGGACGGAGGACAGAGAGAGAGGCAGAAGGCAGAACCGCTGGCGCTGAATGCTCTCACTCATTCGTTTCTTTTCCTTGCTCACTCCACTCCCATTCACTGAGCGACTGAGCTCACTCACGGCCACCCTTAACTACAGGCGAATTATTGGCAACGTCGCAAGTGGTGTTGTTTAGTGAAAGACGTCCCATAAGTTCACATAGCAGACAGGTGACATCAGCTCATTAATTCCCACTTCATTGATTAAAATTTAAATTTATGAACATAAATTTATTAAAATATTGAAAATAAAACACACAGATTTGAAAACCGAAACAATTTATATGAATTAAAAATCTATATCTGTACATTTTTAAGCGGAGTCAATATTGTCTTAGTCCAGTACCTAAACAATCTTTCGTAAATACACAAATAATACCATTAGCTGCTACCAAACAAAACAGCTGTTACAACACCACTTGTGACGTTGTCACTTCGAAGGCCGCGGCCTGGGCGGCCGCGGCCTGGGCGGCCGTGGCTCACTCCAGACTTTCTCAACTCGAATTTCAATCACTTCACTGCAACTTGCTCTTCACTCCTCACTCCACTCTCACTCTCTTCACTCAATAATGGCAAGGTGGAAGGAAAATAAATAAGTGTGCTATGTGGCTATTCCCGTCATAACTGGTTGGGTAGCTGAGTGGTTATAGTGCTCGCCTACTAATCAAAAGGTCGCCGGTTCGATCCTGAGAAAAGTCAGTAGCTTCTTGATGGTTCAAAACTGGACCCAGCTGTTCCTGATCAATGGGCTTTAAATAAATGATCCTGGCTAATGAAACAGCTGATCTTAGTCAGTAACAAAGCTACACAGATCATCTCACACCATTCTACACTCATCCTTCACTCATATTTGGGTTAAAGTACGCACCTAAGTGGCGTCCCCATCTTAATGATTGATAATTGAATTATGCTGATGTCATCGAGATTGGAAACACTATTTTTTTAAAAAATATGTAAACAATAACAATCAAATCATAACAAATATATATTTACTATATTTTACTATATTGGCAATACAATCGTGATTTTTTATTTGCAATCTGGGTTGGTACAAGTTTGTACCAAATTTCATCAGGAATACATTTAAAGTTCTATCCCTAATAGTGCAAACTATAGTGCCAATCAATTAAAATGCTCTTTTACAGAATTTCCATCCTCTCGAAACAACTGAGGAGAAATTTGGGAACGTGGAAAGGCTCTCTAATTTCACGTATATTCAAGGGTGTATAATGAATGGTCGGAAAATGATCCGCCATATAAGAGACAACCATAGTGGATTTTCCTTCCACTATGAGAGACAACCGTACCATGGCCACCCGGCCAACTCGTTCCCCATTTTTAAGCAAAACGGGTGCTGTTGTTTTAAGACTCCAGATGTTTCTTAGTCAGGCTCATTACTTACTTAATGTGCATTTGAGAACTGGAAGCTGAAGTTGTTTTCATTAATTTAAAATAGGCACATATTAGTCTGGGCCAAGCCTTGAGTCTGGGCTCGCGGCCGCGCTAGGACCTGTGGTAGGGGGGAGTGATTTGTCCATTTCCAAAAAAATCTGGCCCACACGGCTCTGGGGTTGTTCAGCCTTTTTTTTATAACTTTGATTATTAATTGTGATTTTCCCATAAAAACCTATAAAATAGCGGGAAAAAGAATTTTCACAAAAACAGCCAAATGGATTTTTATTAACAGATGGTACGGTTAAAGAGTACTTTTAACTACCTCATCGCTGTATAAATTACAGTTCAAAAGTTATTGTAGGTAACGATTTTCCCATAAAAAAAAACATAAAATATCAAAAAATCAGATTTTTTTAAGTTCAATTAATTTTTGTTAAAGTTTAGTATATTATGGTCCTTATAAATCTAAACAGAAAAGGTACCGTAAACGGAAAAGGAATTGCTGTAAAAATTATGTTTAAATAGTTATTGCAACTTTTGCGATTTAACTCATGAAATACCATGTACTTTCTACCACCCCTTGCCCATGATAAGGATTGTTTTGTTGGCAAGCTACTATGGGAGTATGTGTCAGATTTCTGGTGTTTTATTTCTCTATTAATAATTTTTATGGTTACATTTTAATGCACAAAAGGTAATTGATCAAATGTGTGTTTCAACCAAAAAAGTAAAATTTGTGTCCTCCTCCTCTATACCAATGTAAAAAGAAGCGAAACAGGTGTCGTGTGCAGTTCTTATTAAACTCAATAATGCCCAACTTCCACCCAAGCCAGACACTGTTAACCCTCCAGAGGGCGCATGTCGTGGAAAAGATCCAAAACCGTATTATTTCGGTTATTACTGGGAAGCGGACCGGGGCACCCCCTCCTAGATAGTCCTCAGGATAGGGTTGATTTATGAAATGTCAGTGGTGGGAAGGGGTTAGTTCCAAACTACCTGTCACAGTAAGAAATACCCCCGCCGCAGCAAACATGCAGACTTTGTGAATTTCCATTTGCCTGATTGGATTTACACTAAAATGTCTCCTTAAAAATATCACATTTATCCCCTATTTAAAAAGAATTAGTTAGTTAACGAGTACTTAGGTTTGCTGCAACATGGAGGGTAAAAAAGTGTTTATACCGGTTTAACCGATGTCCAGTTAAAAGGTGTCCGGATAAGAGGGAGTCTACTTTATGCTGGAGAACAGAGTGTAGATGATCAAGTTTAAGCTTTGTGACTTATAAATACATATTTTGTATTTGCATAATAAAAAACATTACGCTGTTTATCTATTAGTATAACTATTTAGAAATCATATAATGTACTTATTTTCTTTAGTTTTCATCAATTATCCTTTCTTTCTAAAAGAAAATGTTAATTTAGTTGAAAGACCGATGCGCCCATTAGTGTCACTTTGGTCAATGCGCCCCCGGGCCCCTTGAGAGTTAAGGTGATGGAGAGGCCCTCCACTCCAGCTAAGCCACACATAAATAAGTAAGCTCCATCCAGCAAGCTCAACAAGAATTACACATGAACGGGATTCGTAGCATGCACATGTATAAAGACCTGAAAGAAAGTGACAAATCCACACAAGGCCTCACAGTCACTCCATTCAACACAAATCAATTCACCCTTCATGCATATCCAGATTAATATATTTTTAGGTTATGTCCCTTTATGTATTCTGAAATCCAAAATCTGTAATCATGCTTGAACTTTGTTCAAGGTCTTCAGTGTTTCCCCCACCACATAAGTTGGTGGAGAAGAAATAAATGAGCTCTTGACCCTCGATCTTGTCATGTACACCAAATGTTTCTGCCGGGTTCATTACTTTTACTTACTTACTGCAGTAGCTCCAGAAGGTACTTTGCCTCACAAATTAAATACATTTATTTAAGAATTGCAAGCTGAAGTTGTTTTTATTTGTTATTGTACAAATACCAAAAAAATTTGTTGAGTTGGTAACTCACTCAGCAGTACAACAAACAACAAACTCATGACAGCAATATCATGCTCTCACATTCTAGTGGCAACCACTACATTTTATCAGTACAGTTCACTCTTTTGCTGTACCAGCTCTCCCCTTGCTTTGCTGAATAGTGAATACCTTTGAAAAGGGTTCCACGCACAGATCCGAGGCTTATGTGGACGGGCAAATCCAAAGCTACAATATGCTGCCAACCTCTATAAAGAAAATTAAACACAATTGTATAACAAGTCCCACACACAACATTTGTCAAAACCCACTATTAGAGCAGGATTTTTTATAGGAATTTGGTAACATACGTCAAGGAAAAGTTACAAGTCATAACTGGTATAATTACTTTTATTTGTATACTATAACGAATGAATCGAAATGGAACCACCGCTTTAAAAAATAAACAATATCTTATCAATCTACTACCTGTACACAGTCTTTATAATGTGTTTTAAAAATGTACGTTAACAAATAACTTTTAAACACTGCATTTGACGTAGGCCACTGAGATACATTGATACAATTCGGTTGCAGATTTCAAGCTAGATGTCGTAGCAGCGTTGTGATGAGCAGTGCAAGGTTTTCCCTGCCGAAGCAACTCTGGTATGATGGCATGAACCCCTTCTCATCTGAAAAAGTAAAAAAATACACGAAATCGACAGAAATATATCAATTTGAATAAGTTTACTACTAGATTAAAATGGAGGACAACAGGATGTCTCTACAAACTGATGCCAAATCCTGAGACTATTCAGCAAAAAGAAAAGTTAAATTGGTCAAAAAGTTATGCAATTGGTAATCAAGGTCAATTAAGTATATGATCTCCAAGTAACTAGTAATGTTGAAGATTCAGACAAACTATTGTTAAAACATATGCTGTCTAGGGTTACATTTAAATAAATTGAATATACAATAACCAGGACAAATTACGAATTTAACACATTCACTACCAGGTAATACAAGACCACTCATACAGAACAGAGGAGTGTGACGACTAGTAGGAACTGTTAAGTTATCTGTATGATATATACACTTAAAATTAAGAAAAAAGAAGCACTATTCCGATACTTAAATACTTTTCAATGAAATGGCGACCATACAAAGCAGGTATTTTAAGCCAAGAAGTATGAATGGAGATGAGTGTAGGATGAGTGGTGCAATCTTGTAGTCTTGTTAGTGACTAAGGCCGACATAATCCTTAGACACAGATGTTAATTAATAGCCCATACAGCTAATGGCAACTAAGGGACCTACAGTTTACAGTGGAATCTGAACCACATTTTCGCCTTGGTATTAACAAATTGGTCTAATTATCAGGATAGTACTGCAGATAGTCGTAGTACTCACTAGTGCGGACGTTAATCCACACAAGAGAGTATAGTTTTGATCAGTGCAGTGGTGTAGCAAGGTTTTTAGGCACCCCTCGATTGAGGCTTTAGCAGGAGGTATGTAGCACTACCCTCTGGTTCAAGGGTAAGGTAGAACTGGAGTAATCTTCAGTGTTATTTGAACTGACATTTATTCTCAATCTACTTTCTGAAGAAGTCTTGTATTAGCTTAATGTACAACCACACTCATTACTAACTACTCTACTTGCACAGAGAAAAATCAATTAACTGATCCTTAATAGTTTGATGTAAATTAGCATAACTTCATTATTCTTAACGCCTGACTACTCACCCATTCTGGTCGCCAGGGGAGTGAGGAGGGGAGGTGTCTGGTATATCGGCCCCCGCCTGCAGGTTGTGGAAGGCGCCAGACGAGGTGGCGGGGGGCAGAGCGGGAGGCATGGTGGGAGGAGGCTGCACACTACAGCTGGTCAGCTGATGTCTTAGCTCCATCATCTCACACTCTAGTCGGCTGTTAATCGCTCTCAAACTCTTATACTTGCTCTCCACTGCCTAAAATATATTGTCCTTTAATTTGTAGCCATTTCTACCATACACAATATTTGGTGATAGAGTTGTCTCATTATCTTTGAGAAAAATGTTTTGAGTTTAGATTTTGTGGAAGTATTTATTTTCGAGCTTTTTAAACCTACTAATCGGCTTTTTGATGTAATGTGCCTGTCAATGTACGGGTGTGTAAGGGGCTGTAATTAGGTTTAATTATGGTTTAAACTACAACATATTTAGGTTTTAAATTTATTTTAATATTTCTACTAACCTCATATTCTTCATAAAATTAAACAAATCCGTCAAAAACAAGTTTATTAAATGATATTGCCCCATTTTATTTTATTGGGAATTTTCAAAAATAAATTACACTAAAGGCGTATTTGTGTGTCTTAAATGATTGATTCATTAGATAATTTAATTCAGAACAAAATGCAATTAAATACACACATATTTCATCTTAAGTGTCAGTAAACTAAAACGCACCTCAAGTTGTTCGTGGTACTCGTCTTTAGCCTCTTGCAGCAGCCGTTTGCTTTCTGCGATGGTTGCATCTTTCTTCCCAAGCAAAGAGTCCAGCTCCCCCACCCTGGTCTTGGCAGCTTCCAGGGAGGCAGTTTGCGCCTCCAGGGCTTGGTTCAAAGCTGGAAATAACAAGCACATTGTCAACATATGCTTAATAATTTTGTTAAAAGCAATTTGGCCATTATGAATTATGAAACCATTATGACTGAAGCAGTAATAGTCCCACTGCACAAAAAAGGGGACAAACTAGAATGCAAAAATTATAGAGGTATATCCCTTATAAATACAACATACAAAATACTATCTAAACTTATCTTAAACAGACTCAAATGCCATGTAGAAGAAATAGTAGGAGACCACCAAGCAGGTTTTATGAAAGGGAGATCAACAACAGACCAAATATTTATTCTAAAACAAATAACCTCAAAGTATTGGGAATACAACAAAGATATATATGTAATGTTTGTAGATTTTAGCAAAGCTTACGACTCAATAAACAGACATAAACTGTGGAAGATGATGAAAAAGTATGGATTACCTAATAAAATAATTCAGTTGGCAAAAATGTGTTTAAATGAATCCAAAGGGAAAGTAAAAATAGGGAAAGAATATACAGATACATTTAATATAAATACCGGAGTGAGACAAGGTGATGGTCTATCGCCATTATTATTCAATATAGCACTAGAAGAAGCTCTCAAGAAAACAAGAAATAGTGAAGGAGGGGCAAGATTACTGATAAAATAAACCTTCTAGCATTCGCAGATGATGTAGCCATTGTAGCTGAAAACAAAAATAATCTCAAAGTGCTAACAGAAGTACTAATTAAAGAAGCAAGAAAAGTGGGTTTACAAATAAATGAAAACAAAACCAACTACATGAAAATAAGTAGGCAAGATGACGAGGAGGACCACTTAGAAGTATTAAACTACAGGTTCCAGAAAACTAGTATTTTTAAGTATTTGGGAGTGATGATCACAAACAATAATAGAGAAGAAATAGAAATTCAGAGCAGACTCACAGCAGCAGAAAGATCATACTGGAGTTTAATAAAATTATTCAAAAGCAAACTGCTATCAAAAACCACTAAAATAAGAATGTATAAAACTATAGTGCAACCTGTATTGCTATATGGGTCAGAAACTTGGTCTTTTACCAAAAAATCCCAGAAGCGCCTTATTACTTTTGAAAACAAAATTTTGAGAAGAATTTTTGGACCAGTAAAAGAAGGAAATGCATGGAGGATAAGGAAAAATAGAGTTAAAAGAATTATATGGTGAACCAGATATTGTGGGAATAGTTAAGAGTAGGAGGTTGAGATGGATGGGCCATATTAACCGTAGAAGTGAGAGAGAGATGGTAAAGATGGTACTCAGAGGTATACCAGAAGGAAGGAGACCATTAGGTAGACCAAGAATGCGATGGGTTGATGAGGTGACGAAGGACTTGAGAGGAATGGGAGCAGACTTGGAGCTGGCAGAGGATAGAAGAGCTTGGAGGCACATGGTTGGCGAGGCCAAAAACTACCTAGGTTTCCAATGGCCACAGGAGTAAGTAAGTAAGTAAGTAATTTGGCCATTATATTCAAGCTCGTAACAAAACATCTCAAAGGCCAAATAGAAAAGTGTACTGCTGTACTTATAATGCCAGTCTTTCTTTTGACTTAGATCTTACACTAATGTAGAAAGACCTCACGCTACACTTGTCAGTGTAACACCTTTAGCCAACTGAGCTACCATGCCACCGTTGGCCAAACACGACAAATGCCGCTATAAGCACACTAGTGCTCGCAGGTGAGATTCAACGAACTAACACCCTGAGCAATACTTGGGCTTAGGTTTTAAAGTGTTAACAGGGATTAAAAAGGGATATGTGGGCTTTATTAGGGAAAATATTTATATTGTTAGGTTATATATTTAGGGTGGTAAAAGAGGTTTGAGAGATGGGGTTTCTAGAGATAGATATGATGTTTAAAAAGAGAGGGATTTTAGATTCAAAAGCTTTTAGAGAAAAGGGGGTTTATACTAAACATTTTAGAGATGATACGAGAGGAGAGGTTTCAGAGATGGATGGGTTTCTTGATAGAGGGGTAGATATGTGTCAAGTGTTTTGTTTAGGAGAGGGATTTTGGAGTCAAGATTTCTTACGTTATCCATATCCCATCTATAATCATAGGGGTAAAGGAGGTGCTATAACATAAATCAAGTTAAACTCACCACTGATCTGCTGTGTGAAGCTCTCCTGCAGCAGAGATACTTCTGAGGACTGGGAGAGATGTCTCATCAGACTGTTGACTCTCTGTCTGTACCTCTCCTGCATCTCTCCCCCCACCACCAGCTCTCTCTGCAGACTGGCTACGGTCTCCCGCAAGTCCTTCCCCTCCCCTGCCACGTTGGCAACATGCTGCAGCTCCGTCGTCGTGTTGAACAGCGTCGCCTTTGTTTCATTCAGCTCCTGTAAAACGGAGTTTTCAGTTTGGAGTGGGTAACTTTATTCAGAAAATTGAGGTGGTGACTAGATTAATGTCAATTACATAGAAATGGACAATGTGAAAACTTTAATGGGCTTGGAGTAATTGTAGTTCCAAAAGAATGTGAAAGTTTTGTAGAAAAGATGTTAATGACTATAAGTTTTTGTGTAGTCACGCTGAATAAGTGCTAATCTAGCTGTTTTTAGGATGTTTGTATTGTAATTTATGTTTCCTCAATTTCAGCTAATCAACTCTAGTTTACTAAAATTCTTCACAGTAATCAGACGTACTGAGACAGTTATGGGCACTGAAGAATATCACATTATTGGTACTAAGCTACGCCAAGGGAATCATTTAAAACATCTTTATTTATTATGAGTGGTAAAAATCTTAAAAACATCCCTTGCAAACTGCTTCAATTTACAGACTCTATGTTTTTTTTACTAGCCATACTATACATTATTTTCTTTCAGAAGAACCAAAGGAATTAATACATTGAAAATAAGTACTTGTTTTAAGGCAAAGTAGGACACAGATCTTGTAATAATTGTCATTATCGTAATAGATGACTAGTTTCAGAGCATTATGTTGACCATGTGACAATGTTAACACATTATTTGATTTCATGTTTATGTCTCTTTAACAATGTGTAATGTATATAAAGCTGAAAGTTTCTTGTAACAAGATGTACTTAAGAAGCTTTTGACAATCTTATTGGATTTCAATATGGAGCAATAATGCTCCTGGCTATTCATCACTAATGGCAAAAATTAGTCACTTAAGAGTCGGTTCAAATTTTGTTTATTTCCGAGTGGTTTCTTCCTCACCTTGACTACAGCTACTGTTTTATCCTTCTCTCTTCTCAACAACTCCTCTGTCGACTCCCTCAGTGCCTTCTCTTTGAGGAACTCCGCTTGCAGCTGAGTGTTCTAAGACAAACCATACAATGTGAGTACAACCAGCAACTCAGGACACTCTAATAAGAATACTATCAGTATGAACCAGCTGTAGTTATTTTTTAATTTAAAGAGAACGCAGATTCGGTTCTTTCTTGTGCGGTTTCTGTGTTGTGTTATGTGTTTTATGTGTTGCTAAGGCTAATATGGACTCTGTCTACCAGCTAAGCTAGCTGATTCCATTCCTTGTACATAATAATTCTAATCAGCCAATTGGTCTTTCCTTAACTTCTAGAAAATCATTTGATTCTTTAATCCAAGGTATAACGCGTTGTGCCCACCTGGTTCTGGTAGTAGGTAACAGTTTCTTGGAGTTGCTGTGCGTAGGCCTTGGCTTCATCCATGCGCTTGTGAAGATTGCTGTGTAAAGCTTCATTGTCATTCTGCAGCAGAGAAAGCTGGTCCTTCTGTAAATGTAAACAGCAGTTTGGTAAACAAAGAATCTAGGTAAACCCATAATTAGATGTTGTTAACAAAACTTACCCCGATTTTTAAATACATACTTTCTTTACTCTGATGGATGCTGTACCTGTAGGAAGAAGACCTTTAGGACGCCCAAGGCTGCGATGGTGGGACCAAGTCCGGAGGGATATGAGAAGGATGTCCGTTACAGAGGAGATGATGAAGGACCAAGAAAGATGGCGCAGAGCTGTTGGAGAGGCCAAAAACCTGCTTAGGTTTGAGTGGCCAGCTAGGTAAGCCCCCCGTCTATTGTGAGCTGGACGTGTGGTCCAGAGTGGGGGCCCCCGGTGTGGCTGTAGGGCTATCCTGGACTGGACTGGACTTTCTTTACTCTCAGTTATTTAATTCATATAATTTACTCAATCTATTCAATCAAAATTGAGATGTAGCTTATTAAAAATGTTTGCCAATAAAAAATGAGATTCAGCTTACTAAAAATGTTTGCGGGTAAACTACGTACCAGAGCTGAAGTCAGCTCTTCTTGAGATCTAACTTTTCTACATTTGCCCAGGAGTCTTCGGTTTCTCTCAGCGTGCATTTCTCTTCGGTGTTTCTCAAAATGCAGTTGAAGAATCATTAATGACAATTGCTCCTTGCAACACCTTAGCTCAAAATCAACATCTGAAACATTAATATTATATGAAACCCAAGGTTCTGAAACACTAAAAATCTAGCTAGACTAGGCCTATTAAAAAAAGTCACAAGAAAAAGGTTTGATGCTGAGATGTACACTAGACAGTAATGTTGAACGATGTCTTCTTCATCTCAGGACATGAGTTGGCTCGTCGTACTTTGGTGTTGACTGGGATACAGTACTCAGCCCTGCCAGAACAGGATTTAACAGATCCAATCTACCGTATGTGTTAAAAGCCTGTTCAACGCTTGTTGCTCATGGTAAATTCTTCAATAATTTTAGCCTCTGGATTGCTTATATATAATTGCTATTGTAAGGGCTTACCTTAGCAATCCTAAATATTAATATTAGGATTGCTAAGGTAAGCCCTTACAATAGCAATTTAAACTCTTCCTTTCCTATTTGCTTTAGATATTTTCCTTTCATGATGGATTTTTCTTTTTTCTTTAAACATTCATCAGAAAAAATTGAGTTGTGTGTGAAATCGCGTTTGTGTGAGTTGGTGGCTCAGTCAGTAGCGTGATGGACGACAAATCCATCTCAGAAATGGTTTTGCATCCTGGTGACCGCCACTAAATTTTAACAGTACAGTTTACTCTTGTATTGTAGTAGTTCACCGTTTGCTTTGCTGGATGTGGTTACTTTCCACGCACAGACACACAGCTTAGCGGATCGGCAAAAAAATAAAAATAAAAAAAAATTCACGGAGTGCCGTAAAAAAATCAAATTATTTGTACAAATATGAAATTGTACTTACTTAACTTGTTCTTCTTCATATCACAAACTATACTAGTGTTAGTGTTCATGAAAAGGTCAACTTCGTTGGGAGAGAATCGCTTCAGCGTTAAAGGAGACGAATGGCCTGTTTCTGTAACATATAAAAAACTGTGTTGACAAACCTGTAAACTTGATAGGAAATACGTATGTCAGAAGGAACACTTCAGGGGTTTTTGCTACCAAGAATTATCTAGCTATTAGATTAAACAAGATGAAGGAAAAGATGAGTGGTGAATGAATGACATTAGAGCTTTGTTACTGACTTAGATAAACTGGTTCTTTAGCCAGGATCATTTATGAAAAGTCCAATGATCGAGAATAGTTCGAACAGGCAAGGTGAGCACTCTATCCACTCAGTTATAGAAAGTATTATTTATACCTAACATAAAACCATACAAGATTGAAATACAAAAACTGTAGATCGGTAGTCAATAGAATATAGAAATGACACTTCAAAAACAATGAGGAAGACAACTTTCACTACTCACCGTGACCCGTTGACCCATCGTCAACGTATTGTTGATTGTTGATATGATGATTCTGGTCCACTGTCGGGAACACAGCCAAGAACAAGTGTTCATATGGGAGAGGGTTGTCTGTCTGTGTACCAGCACAGGCAGTCTTCCTATCTTCACTAGACACTTCAGCAAACTCCTACATCACATGTGATTCATATTATATTAACAAATACTGTATGTATACAGTAGAAGCATATATTTTTTGTTAAAAGAAGTTTATTTAAATGCAACATACAATTATTGTTAATTGATATTAATTTAGACTATTTAGATCAATCAATGGTCATACTTTCAAAAATTCAGTTTTTCAATAGATATTTAGCCTCTACAGGATATAAGCTATAAATTTAGTAGAATATTTTTTTCTCCGACGAATCTTACCGCTGCATGTCCGTTGAGAGGGGATGGCTCCTCCTCCACTTTCTCCACCGGGTGTCTCTCCAGACTGGACGATGTCTTCTTCATCTCTGGACATGAGTTGGTTCGTCGTACTTTGGTGTTGACTGGGATACAGTAGCCTTCACTGGGACTGCTGCCTGTACTCAGCCCTGCCAGACAGTTTGAATAAGCCAAACCTTACTTACTTCTACAGGCATACAAACCTAAGAAGGTATTCAGCCTCACCAACAAACTTCCTCCACTTATTACAGTCGAAAGTGTCTTCTTCTTCAGCTCTCTACATTCTCGTGTCTGGCTACATCATCATTTTTGAGTCAATTTTACTTTTCATACAACATTTTTATTGTTGCTTCATCCCCTTTCTTTATGAAATGTCCACCATTCAGTCCATCTAAGACATCTACTTTTTGTTTTAAACAGCAACAAATCAAAGGCTAAATACTACTTGCTAATTAGAAACAATTTTGTGACTTTTTCTGGATTTACCAGCATATTGGTTTGGAATACAAAAGCCTATTACTGTATTATGCTTTGCTAGATATAACTAACACACAGGCCTCGACTACTACATAGAATCAGAGCAGGCACAAAATTCAAGAGGCTGCTAATCGCTAATAAAATCTAACTACCTGGGCAAGAAGCGTCTGGATGGCACTGGCTGTAGAACCTGAGTCTGCTCTTGACTTGTCTGGCAAAGTCTCTCATTGAGTTAGAGTTGGGCATGCAGAGGCCTTTGCCAGCAGTACAGGCCTCAAGGTGACATTCCTCCAGCTCTTCATGGTCCGTGGAGGTGATGTCTTGCACTGCACTGTCACAGAGCCGTGTGGTGTTCTGGATAAACAATACCCACAAAATCATTTGGCTGAAACTACATACTATACAATATGGGAGAATGGATTCATGTATTAAATATTAGAATTTACTTGGACATAAGGATTGACGTCTGGGTCTATAGTAAAAGGTATGTTTAGTAATAGGTAAATGGGTTAATGTAATAGGTAAGTGGAACATAGTAATAGGTTTAGGAATGACTTGTAACAGTGTTTTTCATATGGTAGATCTTCAACTTACGTTGGAGGAGTTATTGTCTGTCGTCATCATGATTTCCACCTCTTTATCCTCCTGATCTGCCGCAAAATCGCCAGGACTCTCATTGCCGAATCTATCACTTGCGGAATTGATCACTCTCAGCGGACTTGTTGGCTGAAGCAGTCCCCTGGGCTTCATCTTACTTTCTACACCATCGCCTGACAGCTATAACATTGATAAGAACACTGAACACTGTAGCTGATTGAACCCCTTCTGCATGGATTAAATTGGAAATCAAATTAGAAATAAGTTTGGAATTTTAGAGTTAAAAATGTTAAGCATTAGAGATTGAACGATGATAAAAATAGCTCTAATTATTTTTACCAATACCAAGTATGATGAGAATGAAACTGGACGGATTTTAACTCATGAGATGACTTATAGCTTTGACTAACCAGATATTCATTTAGCCAGGACCATTTTATTAAAGGCCAATGATGGAGTACCATTAAAACGCTACTGCCTTTTTTAGGAACCAGTAACTTTAACCACTCACCTACCAAGCTTAATAACTTGTTTTACTTAAGTAGGTGCCACATCAGTTCCTAAGAACGAGTCAATAAACTGCAAGTCACTTTGTAAATTTACCATTACTCTATTCTGGCTAACTGGAAGTGGAGCTTATCAAGTGCTTAAATAGCGGAACTTCTGTTGTGGAAGCCGTAGTACAAATCCTATTAAAATCATCACCTGACAATTAATTGCTATGTAATAAAGTGGTGACCTGGTATAATGTCTATTTTAAAGTTTTTGGTCCACCAATTGAGTAGGAAAAGAGATTTTGATCTTTAGGAACTGCCCCGTGTTAGAATATCTTTCTTGACAAAAATTGTTAGCCTATATTGTTTACTGACCAACACCTGGCGCCACTAACCTGATTTCTGTCGCTAACTATCCTCTGCATCTTCTGCGAGAGAAGTGAATCGCGGCGAAGGTCGTGTGGCTGGTGGAAGGCGGACGTCTCCGAGTTGGACGGGAAGCGGAACGGAGACAACTCCTTCTTCATCGGAGACGACGGCTGAGAATGACTAGGACTACTGGTGATGGTGTTGAGGGCTCGGGGAACATTTGAGTTGGAGGGAGGTGCTCGTACTACGCTGCGTATATCCTGGAACAATTCAATATATGAATTTATTTCTTTTTAGTATAACAAGTAGTGTGATTAACAAACAAAGTTAATCACACAAAATACATTCTTAAGCCTAGCATTAACTTAACATTTTATCTGACACCTCGACATCTGAGAGTAAATTCAGTTTGAGGAGACATAAAATACAAATAGATAAGGAACACTGTTACACTAAACAGTTGGTGGGATAATCCTGTGGACAACTGAGCCAAGTGATTTGAGAGATATATTTGCTAAGCTTCTTGTACTATAAAGATGATTCTTCCTATATTTTCGTTCTGAAAAAAAAAATCAGGACCTTAAGAATTAAAAGATATTGAACAGAAAGCTTATTTGTCTAGATTTTTTTGAAATATACACACACACAAAAACATTCTGGGTTGTTTTCATTTGACCTATTTAGGTTTTGTAAATACTTTTTATTTACTTTCCGTAAATACTTTCCTAGCAAGTTAAGGCATATTGTCATCTTGAATTCTTTAACAAAAAATTTGTTGTAAAAGTGAGTGTGTTATTCTCACCTTGATTGGTGTTGTTTCAGGGGTTGCCTCTACAGCTGCCTCGGGAGGTGACGTTCCTTCCTGTTGTGGGAATGATGTACTGACTATGTGTGTCTGAAAACAACAATGTACTAGATATAAATATGGATTAAGGAGGATAAGAAATTGTTCTTGATGCAGCAGCCCTATAAACTTATTACATTTCCAGGTGATATGTTTTCATTTTTATCTATGGTTGAGTCTATAACACAAGGAGATTAACACGAGATTCAAACCCGATTGAAATAACAATTGCTCAATGAGTAGTTCTGCTCATTGAAAAAAGAATCTTGTATCTTGTATCTTGCTACAAGAGGCACACCAATATTAAAGAAAAATTTCAAATCTTAAAGAAAATAAAGAAATGTCCCAAAGATAATTATTCATCTTGAGACTTCATCCGGATGTGTAGGATTGTTAAACGTCCCAGTACGCAAATTTATTCTCCGGTAAGGATAATAGGGAAAACAACATTTTATGTTTAGCAATTTAAAAAACTTAGTAGTCCTATCCAATATGCTTAGAATAAATAACCCCGCCGCAGCAAACCTGCAGACTAAGCGAATTTCCATTTGACTGATTTGATTTACACTGAAATGTCTACTTAAAAATATAACATTTATTCCCGATTGAAATAGAATTAGTTTAACAAGTACTTAGGTTTGCTGCATTAGGGAGGTAAAACTGTTTTTTTTTATGTTAATAGTTAGTAAGAAATAAAAACATTTTCCAAATTTGATCAAAATATGTTCATAAACAAGCAAACTACAACAGTTTACTTATTCTCCATAAGAATAACATGGGAATTTTAAATTTATAATTTTTTGGAATTTTCTCCGTAACCATTAGGCGCATAATAACGCTTCAATATACTAAATTATTTGTTTTTTTAAGCTCTACAAAATGGTTTGGAAAGAAATTGCTAAATTTTATGTTTTTTTGGGTCAAAAATGTGAAAAACCTATTTTTACCCCATAAAACCCCCCGTAAACCCCCGTTCCCATGTTCCGATCATGCTGGATCGCGAACTCGTTCGAATAAACGTAGGCTTACACGTTTGTACCAAATTTAATCAAAATCGGATCATTTTTGCTCGAGTTATCGTGCTAACGGACACATATATATATATATATATACACGGCCGCGCCCGGGAAGCCAGTCACATGAAATATACACTGGAAGTCAGTCAGTTGCACCCCCCAATATATTTCAAGACTATGATATATATATAATATATATTGGTAAATATCTTAAGCCTAGACATATCTGAACGTATATATCTCTTTTTTTCTTAAAAATACTAAAATATAATTACGTAAAAATTGCTATGCTAATGCAGTCACCACCGCATTTGCATGGGAAAGCCAGTCACGTAAAATTTGTGCTGCTAAGCCAGTCACTATATATTTTACCGCATACCACTGGAATCCAGTCACTGAAAATCCACCGGGTGTCCCGTCACTTCAGTCAATTGAAATGAAATGAAATGAAATGAAATAATATTTTATTTCCCATTAATTATTTACAGACAAGTACATTGTATTTTTTTCTTTTCTTAAATATGAAACAGCAAAATATTACTAACTAGATAACAAAACAAAAATTATATACTGTAGAAATAAGTAAATAAAAGTGTTAAAAAAAATACATTCTATAAGAAAGGAAAAAGTCTACATAGGCAGGGCCTGTGCGTAGACTGAGTTGCGAAAAGATTAATTTAAATGGGAAGTAAAAAATATATAAGAGAAAAAAAAATCGTATAATTTAAACCTTTTTTTTTTATTTGTCTTGCTTGAAGCTGAATTTTTAGTGTTCTGGAATAAATTGACGGTAAAAAAAAAATTCTTTGTGCAAACAGAGGTAATTTATAATATCTGGTGAAGATTGAAGAGGAGAGGTGGGGTGTAGTGTATTAGTCAGTCAGTGAAAGTGGTGTATCAGTGATTGTGTAGGGTCAACGGTCAGGTCCACCCAACGCGATAACGGCCTCGGTGTCCTCTGTACTCAGACCAACAAGCCACCCCACAACATGCTTCTTAAATAGAGAGAGAGAGGGTGAATTTAGAATGTTGACATTTTGATATCTGTTACACATGTTACGATAAATGATTTGGGTTAAGTGAAAGCAATTCGTATTTGAAAATGATTTGAAAGTTTGTGGAACACTTACACCAACATTTCGAGAAAAGCGCGTATTGTGGGGATGAGTAATTTTTACAAAAATATTATCAAAGTTTTTGTACATGTGAACTAAAATAAATTTTAAAAATAACTGCCTGACTGTCAAAACTCCCGATTCTACAAAAAGATCGTCAGTTGAATATCTAAAGTGTTTTTTAAAAGCAACTTTAAGTATTGTTTTCTGCACTACAAAAACAGGTTGCAAGATAGTTTTGTAAGCACCACCAAAAGCAATAATTCCAAAAGACAACAATGATTGAACATATGCAAAGTATGCTATTTTAATTTCTTGCTCTTCGAGAATATCACTAAGTTGCCTAAATGCATAAATATATTTACGTAATTTATTTTTTAGGTATTCAACATGTTCCGACCATTTCATCTTTGAATAAAAAACAATACAATATTTGTATGAATCAACTTTTTCAATTTTGCTACAAAAACAAGAGTTATTGAAATGATTTCCACAGACATGAATAGTTAGGTTATCAAGTTTGTATTCGGTTATCTTGCGTAATGAAATTGGCATAAATTTTGTTTTAGATATATTAAGGGACAATACATTTTGATCAAGCCATTTTTTTAGTAAACAGAGGTCTGATTCTGCCTTGTTTTTAACCTCCTCCCAGGATGCTCCGGTTACAAATATTAGAGTATCATCAGCAAATAATGTTAATTTCCCTTCTGTTTGAATTTTAGAAATATTATTAATATAAATGAGGAATAAAACAGGACCAAGGGTCGAACCCTGGACTACACCATACTCCACTGGCAATACATCGCTTGCCACTTCACCAAGTGCGACAGTTTGCAGCCTATCAGAGAGGTAGCTGCTGAACCAAGCGAGCGAGGTGCCACGCACCCCGACAAGCTCAAGTTTACGCAACAACCTACTTCTGTCCACTGAGTCAAAAGCTTTTTTCAAGTCTAAGAAAATTAACATGCTTCGTTTGTTGCCATAAATTGCCTCGTTAATGTATTTATTAATATCAAATAAAGCATCAGATATGTTTTTGTCACTCCTGAAACCATACTGATTTTCACTTAAAATATTGCACTGGTGGAGGTAAAAAACAAGTTGGTCTTTGGCAATTTTCTCTAAAAGCTTAGCAATTACACTTAACAAAGAAATCGGACGATAGTTATTCATGTCTGTGAAATCATTAGATTTGTGCAATGGAATGATCTTGGCCAATTTAAGCTCGTTTGGGAATATACCAGATGTCAGGCTAATATTGACAATGTGCAGAAGAGGAGCACATAGAGAGTGGATGTTTTCTTTAAGAACAAAGGCCGAGATACCATCATGGCCCGGCGCAGACCCTCCGCGCAGACCCTGGACGTAACGTTCTATGTCAGCGTGTGTGACCGTGTTGAATGTAAAATTCGTGTCAAGTGAGAAGTCAGCGTCGTTTACGACTGGAGCCCCAGCTGAATTTATTGAGTTGGCCAATTTAGAACCTACTGATGTAAAAAAGTTATTGAAATCGTTTGCTATTTTAATCTTAATGTTCGCATTATTCGAAGAACCAGGTAAAACTTTTTCAAATGGGAAATGGTCCTTAGTGCAATTCCTGCCTGATATTTCACTAACTATGCCCCAAAATAATTTTGGATCCCTGTTAGATTCTGAAATTTTACCCCTATAATAATTTTTCTTTGCAATTTTTATGTTTTGATTTAAAGATAGGCGCAGGGCCCTGAATCTATCTAGTAGTAATAAATTAAACGGTTGGGTTTTGATCTTTTTACTTAGCTTGTCTCGTTTTCGAATTAATTTTATGAGATCTACGGTAATCCAAGGCTTTATTTTTTTAAATCTTGTAGAGTGATGTTTGATTGTTTTAGTTGAGGCTTTGATGCAGTTACTCAGTGTCGAACAAAAACATGCTGTGCACTGATTAACCTCGTGATTGCTCATGATTGGACTCCAGTCTGTTTTTGTAATATGTTCAGTTAATGTAGCGTGATCAATGTAAGTACGAAATTGGTTCTGTGACTGAGTTTCAGTTCCTGTAGGTGTATGAATGGTGTTAGTGATTGTAAGAGCAGTGCTGTAATGGTCAGTGATATGAGAGTGTATGACAGCAGATTTGACTCGTCTCATATCTTGGAAACGGACAAAAATGTGGTCAATACAAGTAGATGTGTTGTGTGTCACTCTGGTCGGCTTGTCGATGCACTGGACTAGTCCAGCGCCTAGTAAAGTGTTTAAGTAAAGATCCGTTATTGCATCAGTTTTGTGTAAGTCGATGTTAATATCACCCAAAAAGATACAGTTAGTATCTTTACTTATGCGATTATAATAGCATTCCAAACCAGATATAAAATGATCAATTTCACAATCAAAAGTCCTATAAACAGCTAACAGATTGAATGTTTTATTAAAAAGACTGAATTCCAAAGAAATACCAAAAACTCTGTTGATGTTTACTTGTGTTACGGTAGCAGACAGTTGTTTGTTGATGAAAACAATGACTCCGTCATTTTTGTTGTTTTGTGTATCTGTCATTGTACAGTCAAACCCGTCCATGTGACCCACCTCCCCCCCGCTCAACCAACACTCTGATAAGACGATGATATCTAGATTAGCATTCAAAGACTGTAAATACACTGATAAATTGTCAAAATTTTTTGAGAAACTTCTGATGTTCGTGTGAAATATTTTAAGACTACTATTTATTGGGGGTTCATTAAAAAAAATTTCGCTTTCAAAAACATTATCCAGCTCCAAGCAAGAATCGTATTCAAAAGGTGTATTTTCATCTATGTTGCCAATCATCGTCCCGCATAGGCCCCCCTGCCCGTGCCTATCCTGATAACTTAAATAATAAATTAATATTTACATACATAAAATGAAATTATGCAATTATTAATCAAACCATACAAATCTA